ATGAGCCATCACACAGTTATGGTTGATTTCTTGAACGTCTTTCCAATCGTCTTGTCCAGATTACATTTTTCAGTATTTGAATGTGATTAGTATTCATATCTCTTATGAATAAAACATATCCATGTACAAATTAGAGTGTTTTTATTTCTTCAATACATATGAAACACAATCGCAAGGGCTTTCAAGACATTATTTCAAGAGGCAGTTTCACTAGCCTTTATTGCCATTTGAGCTCCTGTTTGGATTAGTGATTGGTCATTACAATGATCGCACATTTCAATAGTGATGGACAAGGTTACTGAAATTAAGATTAATTTATTGAAAGTGTTTCAAATCGTGTTGTGAAAGTGATATCTTTTAAAGTATTGACATATGATTAGTATTGTTATATAATGGCGAATTCACCTAATGAAGGTAGTTATTATTGCATGACAATATTTTGTTCTAAATTGATAATGATTACGCAGCAGTAGTTATGAAGTATTTATTTCATTGAGTCTAGTGTTATTCCTAGCTGACGAAATTCGCCAACCGTCATCGCCTACGTCATTCGTAACATAACATAACAGTTGACGCACAAAATTCAAATGAGATTAATTAATGTCAGAATGTTTTTAATCTGTTCCTCCCAGACGAGGCCACTGCCACGATTCGAAAATATTTAGCAAACGGTGAAAAGTCGAGAGAAGAGGCAAAACAGCATCGTTCATTCAGAGAGGGCAGTCTTCAACTTAAAACGATGGCATGGCACAAACATGGAACGACAGGCTGAGAAAGGGAGATACGGAAAAGTCACGACCTGCTCTAGAAGAGAGGGATGAAGATCCAGGCACACTCTTACAAAACATCATTAATTTGAAAGGTAAGTGTCAAAATTATTCACCCCCCCCCCCCGCGAGTGAGTATTATTTAGCTCTTTTCTCAACCTTGTGACAAAACTGGTATAGTGTCATACCAAATAATTATGCAATTAACGAATGAATTATGCATACCCTTACCAAGTTTCGTAATTTGTTTAAGTATGTGAAAAATGGATTTGTCCCGATTTATTTTTCTTGAGAATGTCACAAATTACCGCTTACATCTAAAAGCATGCAACAATGGCCCTAATTTAACCAGTCCACCTTTCATTCCTGATTTATACGATAAACATTCTCTCTCTTTCTCTCTCTCTCTCTCTCCTTCTCTCTCTCTCTCTCTCTCTCTCTCTCTCTCTCTCTATCTCCTCAGACTTGGAGCGACGTCGCCAAATCCGAGATCTCGTCGCGAGACTCGGGAAAAGATCAGAGATGGCAAGTCACGTGAAGTCTACATCATGAATTTACCTTAGAATTATGAGACCGACTATTTTTGTCTGTCATCCCCATAGGTATAAAATGCTTTTTTGGCCTCGGGAACTGTCCGTTTCGTCGATCTTTTGGAACTTTCTACTTCCTATATTTGTATGTATTTCTTTGATTTGTCGGTGTCATCATGGGCTGTCAGTATTTTGAACATTTTGTCATTATCGGCCTCGTCGGCTGGTGTGGCCTCTCTGTCTACTGGTAGGACTTCCTTGAATAGTGAATTCGATAAATTCCCAATAACGGATTAAATATAAAGATTCACCAAATATGTCAACGTAATTTATTATAATTCTTAGTGTCTTGTCATAATAATTATGTTTAATCTTTCTTTGTTTTCCTTTCTCTTATCTATGGGAGTGTCGTGGTCGAGTGGTTTAAGGCCCTTGACTTGGAGATGCGAAGGTCGAGGGTTTGAGCCCCGACACGGCACTAATATCCTTTGGCAAGATATTAACCTGCACTTGCTACTCTCCACCCAGGTGTTAAATGGGTACCCGGTAGGATGCGACCGTCATTGTTGGTCAAACAGTTTTTGAGCGCATGCATGTAACGCCTGACTGGAATGATCCCCAGGGAGTGGAGATTGTGCACACATTGTGTGCGGGCAAGCACTGAATCCAATGACCGGGGTAATAGTATATTTGTAAAGCGCTTAGAGACATTTGTATTAAGCGCTTATACAAATTAAATATTAAATATTATTATTATTATATGAATTTTAGTTGAATTATTGTATATGCCATGTATATTTTACCGTTGTATGTATGTTTTGAATTCATGTTGTTATTGTACATGTTTTTATGTGAATGCAGGGCTCTCTGGGAGAGCAGGTCCAGAAATGAAATTGAATGAGACCACCCTGTTGAAATAAAACTATAATAAAATAAAATAAATAGTAATTATGGGTTATAAAAAATATTTTGTTATTCATTTGCTTCAGTCTGTCTGATATTGATTTTGATTTGTGTTTAAAGTTAGATCATTATTATAGCCACGGGGTGGTTATGGGGGCGTCACACCCTAACTGGGATTTCCTTTGTAGAATTTTTTATTCCTTCTCACTAATGTTGATCGGTGTATGGAGTAAGTCGAATTCCATCATATGGTTGCCATTCCTATGCGATGAGTATCAAAGTAAAGTTTACCGAACAATATTCCGAATTCAAGTCAGTCGAATGAAAATAATGTTAATTGTGGCTAAGAAGGTTTTAATAATTATTGTACAGTCTGTGTGTATAAATTGTACTTGTAACTATGCGTCTATTGTATTAGTGAGTAAAAAGCACGTTCAATGCAAATCCATGTTCATATAGCTGTATATATATATATATATATATATATTTCTAAGTTTATTCCGAAAGTATTTCTCGTACTAATTTTTGCAATGTTCATGATGCTTGACTATGATTGAGTGATATTAAGTTTGTGTGCCATGTATATTTGTTCATACAATGTATTTTTTTTTGTATGTGTTTGCACTTCAGAATATATATATATATATAAAATGTAGGCCTACATTAAATATGATTGCAAAGACTCTCTAGAAATCAACTTAAGGGCAATTACAATGTCGAAGTGATCACGTTCGGATTACGTACGTTTATGTCATTGCCATTTTTGCACATTTCGATAGGTGACGCATAGAGCTACTGAACTTTCCTTCAATTTTTTTTTTTTTAAACTCTGTGAGATCGTGCACTAAGTAATACATTATAATCTTCCTTGTCAGCAGATAAGGGGCAAAATGGTCATATTGTAGGCCTATACATTGAAATGTCTAGTATCACAATAATTATGTACCCAAACCTTTTTTCGAGGACTAAATAAATAAAGTTAGTCCCTTGTTTATCCATTTCTGGATACACAACTGCCTGATATCTATTAAATATTAAAAATTAAAAATAAATAAAAAATTGAATGTCGCCCTTCTTTTTGTCTCGGTGTATGTGTGTCCAGCCCCCCCCCCCCCCCACAAGCGAGTAAAAGAGTATTAAGCTATAGGTATCGCAGAAATGGAAAAGTGATTATCTGTTGTATGAATTTCAAATATTCAATATGCATTAAATGAACTACTTAATTTGACACTTGTTCCATAAAGACGAGTCAGTACGAAGTAGCACGACTAACATTTAAAAAAATCTATCCTATTATATAGATAATATGATGAATATTATTCTTAATATAATAAGCCAAAATCAATTATGTGATCATGCAATATACAAAGAATCACACACACAGTTGCTACCCTAACTTATTCCCAAGAGATATTTTAACTGAGAGTCTGCTTTAACAAAATAAGACTCAATATCAATAGTAGCAGCACTACAAAGTACAAGTTAATAATAGATCTCTTTTAAACTTTGCACCCGAATTCTATTCACGCATGTCTGCTCACAGATCGTCGCTGTTTTCACGAAGTGACGGTAGTGAAAAAAAATTGCATTCACTTTGCGTTACGATTTTCCTCACTACCGTCACTTCGTGAAATGCAGGCGCGTACGCAGGGGAGAGGGGGGGGGGGGGGTTAAACCCTCCCCCCCTTTTAACTTTTTTATGTGTGTGTTGGTGGAAACCCCTTCCCCCTTCGTTGTTCTTTTTTATAATAAAAATAATAATAATAAAAAATAAAAAAAAATAAAAAAATAGGGGTAATAGATGACCCAAAAAAGCTGACCCCCCCCCCCCCAACGAAACGAAATATCGATCGGCCAAAATGTGCTCTTAACCACTGTTTAGAAAACAAAATGTAAAGGAGATATGTTTTGTAGAATATAAAGCATATTCGTCATCAGTTTCCGCGGATCCAGGATTTTTCAGGGGAGGGGACCGAATTTTTTTTTTCTTTTTCTTGCTCCCGTAAAATTTGAAAATCGCGCCGGCCGAAAAGTCGCTCAGTGGTGGTGGAGGGGGGGGGGGGGGGGGGGGGGGGGTGGGTAGTGATCACATTTTTGTTTTGGCCCTCGAAAATTTGAAAATTTGTACCCCCCCCCCCCCTTGAGCGCCATTCCCCCAAAAAGCTAAAAAATCACGTGTTTTTACACGTTTTTTTCCCCAGGGGGGGGGGGGCGGGCCCCCGCCTCCCCCCTCTGGATCCGTCACTGCTTACAATAGAATAGAATAGAAAAGACCATGCAAGCTTCTAAAGTTCAGAACATTATTGATGGAGCCTCAAAGGTAATTGGTATGGGGTCATGAATTTGGTTCAAATGAACATATTGGAAGCCAATTTGCAAAATTTTCCAAAACTTTGTATTACCTTTAATTTATGTAGTAATTTAAAATTATCGTAATGCATGATTTCGAATAATTGTTTTGTGTTTTGTATGTAGGCCTACGTGAATATTTCGTTTTCTTTTTCACAAAGATATATAATATAATCTCTCTCTTTAATCGTGCAGTTGTTCAAATTTAGTACAGATATGTGACATATAGGCCTAGCTAGATTTTCTTCTTTTGGAGATCGAAATAATGGTGATAACAACAACAACAATAAAAATGATTATAATAATAACAATAACAATACTGATGATAATGATAATGATTATGATAATTATTAATGATAAATTTGAAAAATCTCAGAAAAAAAAAAATCACCTGTAGCCTAGAGGCCTATAGTCAAAATTTGAAAGTCGGTAACTTCAGTTTATAAAACGACAACTTGCGCGCGTCGTACGCTGCCTACCCCAGTTTCTAATTCTGAAGCGTTTCCTGTTATTTTGAGAGGTATGGAGTCACAGAATTGTTCGCTTTTTTCTTTCTTTATCAGATAATTGACTGTGATGTATGTTGTGTTGAACATTATGCGATATAGTGGCTTAAAAACGTCATGTTTGTCTTGGTTTGTTTATTATAGTATAGGCCTAGTCCCATCTGCTGATCCATTTGCTGGTAGATATGGATGCGAAACACGAGGCGCTGCGCGCAGCGTCTCGTGTTTGGTCAATCATCATTCATCATCATCATCATCATCATCAAGTACGGGTAGAAGGCGTTGGCCTGTAATTCCCGGTCACTGCTTCTATAGTAGGTTTAGCCTGTTGGATTTGTTACTGAGTGTATGCGCATGCACAGGAGAGAGAGTCATGGGAGATCGAAGCGATACTCCCACCAATGCTTATCTATGTGTCTTTTGAATTTGTCCGTTGTTGCCAAGACCACAATATTTTCTGGCAAACTGTTCCAGTCTTGTATTATTCGTCTGCTGAAAGACTTACTTCTAACATCCAGTCTGCAGTGTTCTTTCTGGATCTTGAGACAGTGCCCTCTCGTGGATCTACTTCTACTTGCAGGTTGGGAGAAGAAATGATCTTGTGGGATGTCGACTAGTCCGTGCATGATCTGGTGGACTGCGATCATGTCTCCTCTTCTTCTTCTGTAGAACAGAGAGTACATGTTCATGTATTTAAGTCTTTCTTGATATGGGAGGTCCTTGATTTCTCGAACCAATTTGGTAGCTCTTCTTTGCACTCTTTCGATTTTCTTTGCATCTTCTTTAAATCTGCTATGCCAAAGAACACTCCCATATTCTAGGTGTGGTCTAATTAGGGTCTTGAATAGAATCGGTAGTGTTGTCGTATCCAGTTTGGAGAAAGTTCTTTTCATTATTCCCAGTAGTTGGTATCCCTTACTGACCGCTAATGATACATGTTGATGGAATTTCAGCTGGTAGTCAATTGTCACTCCAAGGTCCTTTTCAGCTTTCACTGATTGCAGAAGTTTCCCCTGCATGTGGTAGTTCCCTTCAGGATTTCTCTTGCCTATGTGGAGTACTTTGCATTTGTCCTCATTAAAAGGCAACTGCCATCTCTCAGACCATCTGTGCAGGTTGTTTAGGTCATCTTGGAGGTCATTAATCTGTGCTGGTGTGCTCACTGTATTATACAGCTTTGTGTCATCAGCAAATAAGGCTACTTCGCTCTTTCTCACGTCAAGTGGAAGGTCATTTATGTAGACCAGGAAGAGGACCGGTCCAAGGACGCTGCCTTGCGGTATCCCGCTTGTTACTGGAGACCAGTTTGAAGATTCTCCGTTAACGAAGACTCTCTGTACTCTCCCTGTCAGAAATGCTCTAATCCAGTTTAGGAGTTTACCCTCAAGTCCATGTGCCTCTAGTTTGAGTAGGAGTCTTTCATGGGGAACACTGTCAAAAGCTTTTTTGAAGTCGAGATATAAAACATCAATCGCCTTCCCTTCATCGAGCCATCGCGACCATTCCTCTAGTACGCAAAGTAATTGAGTTGCACATGTCCTTCCTGGGGTAAATCCATGTTGATTTTGTGAGAGTAGACGGTTACTTAGTAAGTGTGTAATTATAGCATCTCGAATAACTTTCTCCATCAGCTTTCCTGCGACAGAGGTGAGGCTTATAGGTCTGTAGTTGGAAGCTTGTCTAATAGTCTTGTAATAATAGAGACAATAATAGAGTCAAGAGACAAGATTCAAGAATAAATTCACAACAACTAAAAAAGACGTTAGTCATAGAAATAATTGAAGTCTAATAGACTATTTCATCTACCTATATCTACCTAAGAAGAAGATAGGAATGATATGAAATAGAGGTGAACAAATTATCAGAATCACGTCGGTCTGACTCTGAGATTTTTTTTCTTTCTATTATTACTAGACTATTAGACTTCTATTAGATTTAATGCCTTGTAGTTGTAATGAATTTATTCTTGAATCTTGTCTCTTGACCAAGATCAGATGTCAGTAGGCCTACTCGGTGTGGGTCATAATTTTGTTTTGTTACTAAACTAGACCTCTATTAGTCGACCTCTCTTTCGGGAATTCAAATGTAATAATAATGATATTATATTATATGCCTTTTCATATGATACAAAGTGCATGTACTATGTACAGTGTAACTAATGTTAACTGAATCTCCAAAATGTTTCAGAAATGGCTGTTTTCCCGGAGTCCAGAGACACGAGACATAATTCATAAGTATTATTGATTTGATATGTAGCAAAATTCATTGCTTCATTATAGGGATGGGATGGGGCCAGACTGCATGACACACATAGGAGCATCACTATCCTGGCTGTGTAGTAAAAGCTGTGCTTTTGATTCTCAACATTTCAAACACCACTGTACAAAACTCAACTAATTTCACTCAAAATCGGTACTTTAATGACAATTGATGACACCTAAATAGCAGTAAAATACATTTTTTTCAACTTACTGATGTTAAAAAGAATAATTTAAAAATTCAAATTGTAAGTCTAGTGTCAAACTTTGCTTACAGCTGCATCGACATGATTGTGTACAGTCTATGCAGTTTTGTGTGGTGTGTATATTTGTGTATAGACTTCTAGGTCCCTGCCTCACAGCATAGATGCAGTGCTAGAGGTCAATACGCTCTAGCATTGACTCTCTGTGCTTTGCTGGAGTGCTGCATGACAGTTCCTCACTTTTCTGCACAGAGTATTTTTTGTGATTAATTCTTACAATGAGACTAATGTGGTAGTTCATCCACATTTAATTTTTTTTATATCATAGGTGACTCTCCCTCCAGGACCAGGACTAAAGTTTACCTCAACATCCCCAGACAGACGTCCTACTCTAGCATCCGACGGCCGATGTTGAGTTTAACAACTGCTGGGGGGTGTTTCACAAAACTTGTCATCAGTGACAATTGACAGTTTTTGTTATAAGCTACTGGAATACTTGCTTCTGATTGGTTATCAGCAGATTTGCCACTGACTTTTGTCATTTGTCATTGTAAAAAGGCTTTGTGAAACATGGATGAGAAATCCAAGATCACCTTGACAGCGACCAACAAGCAAGAGTGGCCAAACTCGACCCTTAAGTCGCTGAACACATTCCGGCAGTCTGGACACTCCTTATGCGATGTCTTCCTCCAAGGGGAGGATGAGATGCCGATGGAACCAATACCCGCTCATCGGTGTGTGCTTGCTGCCAACAGCGTTTACTTCAATGCCATGTTCACATCGGGGCTTGCAGAGAGTACACCGGCCCACAGGACGATCACGATCAGTGGGGTAGACACAGATATTCTGTCACTCGTTGTGGAGTTCCTCTATGTGGGAAGCTGTCATCTGCCGAGCGGCACCAAGCATTCTAGAGTGATGGATCTGCTTACTGCTTCGACCATGCTGCAGGTTGATGAGCTTTCCCGTGCATGCACTATCTACCTTGAAGAAAGCTTGGACACTGACAATGCATTAGGTTAGCAGGGATTGTTTAACAATATTAAATTTGAGATGCACGGCCCTACGTGTTATCAGTGTCTGTGAAATGGTGTAATATTGAGGCCATAAAAAAATTGCGCTTCAAAATGATCAAGAAGTGCCTCAAAATAGTACAAATCTGTAAGTGGCCGCGGTTTTACCATACTTGTTTTCCCCAATAGACTGTAGTGTTATAAAAACCGTTTGGCAAACGATTTTCAAAATTTGTAATTCAAATCATAAATATCTTGATAATCAGACAGGCGATCGGCCTGTCATGGGGTTCCTGACTGACCTAAAAGTTTATAATTATCATTGCAGCATGAGCTAAATCCAGGATTTTGTTTCAGAATCTGAGACAAAGTTACCGGATCTCTTTAATTAGATATGACATGAATCTGGGTTTTACTTTCAACAAAGTGGCAATATATCTGATCTTATTACTGTGACCTTAAGTTTTTTTTTTGCTTCTTAAATTCAACTTCTTAAATTTAAACACCACTCAATTTAAATCATGAGTCAGTTTAAATTTGTGAAACGACCTAGATCAAATACTTTTGGGGAAATAAATCAGGACCCCGTTTAAAAAGTTGTTATCATAACAAGATATGATCATTGTTGCAAACTACTGAAATCCTTCCATTTTATTGGCTATGAGCAGATTTGTCATAGATCTCTGGCAGTTTGTTGTTGATAACAAGGTTTATAAAACGGGGCAGTGATACAGCTAAAGGAGATGTTTCATCCATTTTTTTATTGAATTATCCAATACAGAGTATTTTGTGGTAGAGTTAAATGATTTTAACCTTGACATCAGAATTACACATATCCTTATTTGTATAATTGCTAATGTTTACATGGATTTTTCAATTATAGACTCTATACTATGATAAAATCTATCTTCCATAATTTAATTCTTTTTTGGTGCAGTTTGTTTCATCTTACTGTTTACTGTCATTCCTGTTTTTGGTATTTCCTAAACTATAGATATATGGTCGTAAAAATTTGGATCTTGATGTTTTAATTCTTTGTCAAAAAAAGCTTTTAAATAATTGATCAGTGTGTGTCTAATATATCTCAGAGCTGTGGCTGTTTGCCGAGAGTTACAGAATTTCTGACCTGGCTGAGACTTGCAAGAAGGTTGTCCAGTCATACTTTTGGTCGATCAGCAGGAGTCAGCGTGTGCTTGAGCTGGATCTTCAAGATATGGCAGCCGTGCTTGGTCTGGAGGAGGTCAATTTAGGTAGGTCAAGGTTGAAAGTTCAATAGATATTTGTTAGAATCATGCAAACAACTGTTGTTACTCTTATTTTGACAGGAACAAATTTAAAAGAACTGTCCATATTGTCTGAAACCAGGAGGGCATTAACTCATATTCTTTAACACATGGTTAACGCCCTTGTGGCTCTGAACAGATGATACGTACATTGTTTATTTATTTATTTATTATATTTATAAGACTATGAATGAATGAACAAATAAAGATAAATAAATTAATATATGAATAAATAAGTAAACATATAGGCCTGAATTCACAAAGGAGATTTGTCAACAAACCTAGGTTTATGTGCGTCATATAACACGTTTCAGACCAAGGTTCAGATCAACAACGCATCAACGCGTCACATAGGTGTTGACAAACCTTTGTGAATTCGGGCCATGCAGTTTAAATAATTCTAAATAAATAATTAAATAGACATGAATTAATTATAAATGTTAACATGTTCTAAAATTTGAACTCCCATAGGGAATGCAGCAAATGAAGACACCCTGGTTGAGCTACTTCTGAGATGGCTGACCTATAACCCCAAAGCTCTTGATTCGAATCTGCTTCCTGTTCTCAGTAAGGTATGTTGGAGTGAAGTCAGCCAAGAGTGCAAGGACAAATTCAGAGAGACGCTTGCTGAAATCTCCAAGGACAGTTCGTCAGGTAGGTCCGATTCATGGAAAGATGTTCTGGGCTTAATTTTACAGGTATCTTGCTCTTTTGCAAGGAGGCCGAGTTGAGTTTAGTCATAGCAGGAATATGATGTCACAGACTCACACCAAACTCACAATGAATGACCAAGACAAGGCAAGACTACAAATAAATGGCAAATCTGCCAAATAATGATGATGGAGATTGCATTAATGATTATATATGCAGCTGAGTAATGAGCAAAGACAGTGTTTGTTTTAAACATATTGCTCTCTTATTCTCTCTTATGATATCTGCTTTATTTCCATATCTGCTCCTTTTGTTCATCTCTTTTTTTCCTGTTTTGAAATTTAATTTCTATTTCTGTTACAGAATCTTTCGACGCTGAAAAGGTATTTGATGTCATCTCAAAATCTTCATCTTTGAACCAAAGCTTCAATCGAACATTCTTCTGCCCCGTGTGTGCCATTGGATTTGCTCCGTTGTCAAGCAGTACATGGGATGTGTAAGAAGTTTTTTTAAACAATAGATTGCAGGAGCTGATGTTGCCATCAAAGTTGATGAGAAGTCTTACTATCCAAAGCAAAGTATTTTCCTCTGCTTTAAAACCCCATTTTTGCCTTTATTAAAGGCCCACTGCACTACTTGTAGCTACTTGCGCCCTCTACATAACAAACAATGCCTAATCGGTGACCATTGGTCCCCCATGATCCTCTTTTTCTTATGTTAACTGAGAGCTGAGTTGATGAGATAACCACCTGTCCAGTGACCTTGCAGGGCAGTCTAATCCCTCCTGTAAACTATGGCAGATAAGCTTTAAGCCTAGGGGATGAAAGAATTTAGTAGTTAACTGGCTAATGGACTAGAGTTCTCCTAAACATTTGGTAAATTTCAACTGTTCACATCACGTTTGTTCATTCATATAACTTCCAGATATGGCCATGAACCCAGTACCTTGGAGGTCGTAGACATTGACAAGAGGACTGGCACCGTCCTCAGGCAGTGGTCCAGGGAGTTTCTCAGGGAGCAGTTCAGTTTCCTACCTCTCCGCGGTCACCTCTATGCATCATCCAACACACGTTACAACACACATTACAGCAGTACCAAGCATATTGATGTGCTCTGCCTGAGTGTGGCTAACGTTAAGAATACCAAAGTGATGAGGACTAGAAGTTTGGATGAAGAGTCGGTGTGGTTGAACGTGATTGAAAAGCAACATTATACACGTGCCATTGATGAGGAAACGGGCATTGTCTATCTGTGTGGGGACCCAAAAGCGTGGGATCAAAGCCGTGTCAAAACTTCTACACAGGTCTTCAAGCTGGATATCGAAAATAATGTCTGCTCTCAATTGACCAGTCTCCCTTTTGAGAGGTAGGGTACATATTCTCTTCAGTCTATGTTGTATTATATCCTGCATCAAAATTTGTATTGGTTCTTGATTGGTTGAGAGCTCTTCACGTGACCAGAAATATTTGAACCTTTTTTAATAAAGTTGCTCTGAAAAAGTACAGTTTTGATGCACTATTTTGGAGTTGAAAATGTTTGTATGCCTCCGCAACAGGGTAGCCGAATGCATTATATATTTGGTAAGTTGTCCGTCCGTAATACGTCCCATTCTCGTGATAGCGTTATCTCAAGAACTGTCTGATGGATTCCAGCCAAACTTGGGTCATGTATGCAATGTTTTATATTTCTCTTTTCCAGATGTCATGATAGAGCGGTAGTGGTAGAAGGAGACCTATTTGTATTTGGTTCAGTAGACCGGTCACCAACCCCTGTCTCGACTGTCCTGAAGTATGACTGGAAGAACAATGCGTGGCAAGAAGTGAGTCCCATGCATGAGTCCAGAAAAGAAGGAGCCTATGCCTGTGTTGGTAAGCGTGCTTATTAGATTTGATCAAGCTTTCATGAATGAAGTTGATCTCTAGCTACCACAGTATTTTAAATATAAAATTCTGAATCTGAAAATAGACATTCTGATGAGCAGCTTTGTACTTGACCATAGACCATTTATCCATTATGATGTGATGATGTTGTTCATTGTCCCCAAGTGGTGCTGTATACAGGATTTACTTGATTATTTCAGGTCCAAGAATTGACCCCTGAGGAACCCAATGATTTATATTATGTTGTCCTTATTTTGTATCACTGATGAACGCTGCTCATGATATGCCAGTGGACATATTTACTTTGTCGTTGCAGTTCAGTGCCAGATTATTGGTCTGTTGTACAAACACAACAACATTGATTTTTATATCTCTTTTTTTGTTGACAGATGGCAAGATATATGCGTCAGGTGGATGGACCTCGAAAGCTCGTTCAAGAAATGTTGAAATGTACGACCCTTCTCTGGACATCTGGACAAAATTGAGTCCAATGTCGTTACCCAGGGTCAACCATGGACTCGTTGCTGTGGGAATGTATCTCTTTGCTATGGGCGGTAAGGGACAATTCTCAATTTTTTTGTTGAATTCCAGTGATACTATAACAGTACCGTATGTCAATGACTTTTCACTTTTGTGGCGAAAATTTGTCCTTCTCTATTAAGTCATCACCCCAGTCTTGGCCTTACTGCAACCTTCGTTTCAAATTGTTTCTTGGTCAACAGTATACAAATCAAAGGCCTTACCTGTGGCCTCTACCTGAAATGTATGCATGCAATATTCATATCACTTGATGCATGTATTTAAGAATCTGTATCTTAATATTGACTGTTCATTGAATGTATATCATACTTTTTTTGCTGATGTTGCAAACAGGCGAGTCAACGTATTCAGAAGAAGACATTATCTGGAACGGCCATAAAATGGTGGAAAGGTACAGCATCACCGAAGGATGCTGGGAGGCTGCTTGGGAGATGGCAGAGTGCAGAGAGGGGATGCGGGCTTTCACCCTCTAGAACAGTGATGTAAGGAAAGTCAACAAAACAAACACACAAGAACAGTAGAGAGATACAGCATCACTGAAGGATGCTGGGAGGCTGCTTGGGAGATGGCAGAGTGCAGAGAGGGGATGCGGGCTTTCACCCTCTAGAACAGTGATGTAAGGAAAGTCAACAAAACAAACACACAAGAACAGTAGAGAGATTAAGCATCACTGAAGGATGCTTGGAGGCTGCTTGGGAGATGACAGAGTGCAGACAGGGGATGCGGGCTTTCACCCTCTAGAACAGTGATGTAAGGAAAGTCAACAAAACAAAAACACAAGAACAGTAGAGAGATTAAGCATCACTGAAGGATGCTGGGAGGCTGCTTGGGAGATGGCAGAGTGCAGACAGGGGATGCGGGCTTTCACCCTCTAGAACAGTGATGTAAGGAAAGTCAACAAAACAAAAACACAAGAACAGTAGAGAGATGCAGCATCACTGAAGGATGCTGGGAGGCTGCTTGGGAGATGGCAGAGTACAGAGAGGGGATGCGGGCTTTCACCCTCTAGAACAGTAATGTAAGAAAGTCAACAAAACAAAAACACAAGAACAGTAGAGAGATGCTGCATCACTGAAGGATGCTGGGAGGCTGCTTGGGAGAGTGCAGAGAGGGGATGTGGGCTTTCACCCTCTAGAAAAGTGATGTATAGGGAAAGTCAACAAAACAAAAACACAAGAACAGTAGACAATATCCCTGCCCAGACTGCCATGGTTGTGACCCTTCTCCGTGCAAAATTATTGAAGGTCAAAAAGGTTCAATATTCAGCTTGATGTCAGTGCCTCAATTTCTAATTTATTTTCATGAAATCTTCTATGAACCTGTAAAGTCTACTTTAACTCTTTAGATATTGTTATAGGGTTAAAAGTGTCAAGGGTTATTTCAACTGTTTAGAATATTATAATTAAAATTCATGAGACCACCTCAGATTTGGAAGCCCCTCAGGTCTTTTCAATAGATTAATACCGGTAAATGTTTAGAAACTTGATACATTAAAATTTTCCCATTATATTCTATACCTCAAAGTGTTCTCTATGAATATTGTTTTCTGCATTTTCCTAAAAGGGTTCTGGAATAGTTAAAGGTAATACAAAGTTTCAGGATAGGGTCATGAATTTGGTTCAAATGAACATATTTGAAGCATATGCGATACTCCAATATTCAGTGATCGTTGTCTCGGTTGAAATCGAGTCTAAAGTGATGAAATTGAAAATAATATACTCTTTATGTGGTATAGCTCCCTCTCAAGATCAAGATATTAATTTAGCTACGAAACAATGTTTATTGACTAAAATTGATGGATTGGCTATTCCTGTTTGGAAATTATATATCACAACTGCATATTCTGAGATTTTTATGGTCGCAGCTACCATTGTATGGCCGTAGGTGCTAGTTAAAATTTATCAAAATTTACCAGGAGCACCGATAAATTTTGATATTTGAAATTATGCGAGCCAAATATTGGTACGTAATGGTGACTGGCAGTGGCGTAAATAATGAGCAAAAACGTTTAGGGGCGGGCAGGCAAAAATCTGCATCACCCCCACTCTCACATGCAGGCCCCGCTGAACGTTTTTCAGAGCAGGTGGGGGGAGGCCAAAGTATTTAAAATCAGGTATACAGCGTAGCAAAAATTGGCGTGGGGTCTAGGGGCAGAGCCCCTGGAAGCTCTGGGGGTATGGGCATTTAATAACAGTCAGATGAGCATATTCTGATACCTTATTTGTGACGCTGTCAGGTCACTAATTGGCATGGGGTCCAGCGGCAGAGACCCCGGAAGCTCGGGGTCTTAGGCCATAAATTATGGTCAGATGAGCATCTAGGGCCCCGTCTTAGGGCCATTGGTTGGGTCCAGGGGGCACTGAGCCCCCGGAAGCTCAGGGTTTTAGACATTAAATCGAGGTGAGATGACTTTCATGGGGCCCGCCTTAGGTTCCTTGGTTGGGGCAGAGCCCCGGAAGCTCAGGGGTTGTAAGTATTTAATTACAATTACAGGAAGCTCAGGGGTGTTATTAGCATATTTTGATACCTAACTAGGTAAGGTAAGGTAAGGTATTTATTCATCAACCTATCGCAGCCAATGGCTGAATTGCATGCATGATATATATATTTGGTTTAAACATATAAAAAAAACATTATATTTACAATTCATTATTTAACAATAATTTGATGAAAAAACTTAATAAAACTCAGAAGGGAAGAAAGAAATAAAGGAAAAATGTGGAGCAGGAAAATAAGGAGAAAAGGAAAAGAAAGTTGAGGGAGAGGGAGGTGAGAGAGAGAGAGAGTGAGAGACAAAAGAGAGAGAGAGCGAGAGAAAGAGAGAGAGAGAGAGAAAGAGAGAGAGAGAGAGAGAGAGAGAGAGAGAGGGTGAAAGAGGAACAAAGAGAGAGATGAACACAAACACAGAGCTGGTATAATATAGTACAAATTAAAAATGTAATTGTAAAAAGTTATTTCATCCAAAGGAATTAATTTACAAAAAAGAAAAAAAAGTTTGCAACACTGGTAGGTCACTTATTTTTTCTTTCTATCTCTTTAATATACTTTTTCGAAAAAAGTGGGGGGCTCGAGGCTCCTGAGCCCCGCCGTTCCGCGAGCCCTGACATGTTGGCCTCTAAATAAGCATATTTCTTGTCTGACTGTAAATTTAGGAATTTGCATTTTCCAACAAACGCATAGTAAAAAAGGATATAATCTACTAAAGAGTGAAGAAAAATCTCGAAAAAATTATGTCATTTCACCAACATTTGTAAATCACATGTATCACATTAGAAAAAAGTAAACCACATTTAATATTTGAAGCCCCCCCGATCTTCACCCTGGTCTATACCTTGTTGGAGGGGAAATGGCAACTGAACTCCCTTATCTTCTTTCTCTTTTTTATTCTTTCCCCTTTTCTCGTCTTTTCCTTCCCTTCCTTCTTTCTCATTTAGGCCGTTTGGTTGGGGGGGGGGGGGGAAAGGGCCTTTAATCGCCCGATCCATGCGTTGTTGGGGGGATTAATCGCAACTGATCTCCCGGCCTTCTTTTCACCCTTTTCTTTTCTTCTTCCTCTTTTTTGTTCCCTTTTAGCTCTTCTCTTTCCCTTCCTACATTTTTTTGGCTGGGGCGGGGAGAGGCAAGGGCCTTTTGCCCCCCCCCCCCCCGATCCACAACTTGTTGGTGGGAAAATTGCAACTAATATCCCCTTCTTTTATTCTTCCTCTTTTTTTTTCCCCTCCTCTTTGTCTCCTCTTTTCCCTCCCCCCCCCCCTTTCCTTCTTTCTCTCTTATTGTTTTGATGAGGGGCGGGGGGGGGGGGGGGGGGGGGCAATTAAGGCCCTTTTGCCCCCCCCCCCCCCGCCCCGATCTCATTCCCCCCTTTACTTTTCTTCTTCCTCTTCTTTCTTTTCCTTTCTCTCCTCTTTTCCTCTCTCTCTCTCTCTCTCTCTCTCTCTTGATTGATTGATTGATTTTGTGATTTGGTGAGTGAGTGACGGTCTCATTGGGTGTGTGATTTTTTATATTTATAGATATTTTCATTAATTTTATTTCAAACTTATTTTTTTGAATAATAATTATTTATATTAAAAAAAGATAATCAATTATAATAACATTCCATTGTTCATTAATCATTAGTTTATTTACTGATTGGTCGGCGGGTAGTTGGATCCTAGTTAGTAGGCCTAACTGATTGAATTTATTGCTTGGATGATTAATTGATTGGTTTATTGAAATATTTTCCAGATTTGTTGTGCCCAAATTAAATTGAGAAAATTACTCAGCTTTCAATAGAGAAAGAGAAAGAAAAAGAAATCTGTTATCTGAAATAAATTGAATGTATCGTATCACAGATAAGCAAAAAGTTTAGTTCACCCTTTAACGCTCCGGTGTTTTGGTATGTCGCCCTCTTTTGTTTAGTGAATGAAAACTGCATGTTGCATGCATGCATGCAATGTTTATCTTTCTCATGCAAGAGCTGCATTGACTGCCTTGCTATGCAGTGGGCATGCTGTGCAGGGATGATATGCATTGTTGCTGCATACATGCAGTAGCCTAGATCTGTATCGAATGCCTGGATTGAAATGTGATCTCGTTTGCTCCTAATCAGACCTTTTATATTTCGTGCTGGAATCAGGATGAAATCGCCATTTTCCAAGTGATCTTGTTGAGCTTGAGCAATCAAGATGGATAGCATTATCCCTTCAGAGTTTCCAGAAGGAATCTTTGTGGAAGATGGTAAGATAAAATATTTCGAGCAAAAATTACATTCACAAAATCAACACGATTGACTCGAATTGATAATTGGATTGGGTATTAACGGTAGAGTTGCATTGCCATGACATGTAGACCGTCCTAGTACTAAGCCGAACATTGTTTAACCTCTAGTCTTTAGAAGGTAGATGTAAAAAATGTTGTAACAATGTTTTGTTTTCTGACGTTTTGTTTTCGGTCATTTGGCCTTCGGACAGGTGAGGTTGTGTTTCCAGACAGTTGATTTAAATTTAAGGACTAGATAGATATAGTCTAGACTAGAGTCTACAAACAATATTCCATAATGTTTAGACATCTGTCTGGAACAAATATTCATGATGGTAAGTGCTGTTTGACGAATAATTTTTGTTAAATCCACAGGCACAAGAAGGCTTTATTATTATCAAGTGTTCGAACATCCAGTCCCCTAGCTCCCTAGCTACCCTCCCCCCATCGACCTTGTGACGACAAGACTAGACTAGACAAAAATAACCATCTGGTATGGGAAATTCTTTAATGAAATTGATATTTGTCAACCTCCCCCAGGCCCCATACACATACTGACAAATTCTTTTCACCTGGGAAGTTCTCCATCTCTGTAGGTGGAGAAGTTCCCCGATGAATTTCCCTGGGCTTCCGATGGGGAATTTTTCCCTGCCCCCATTGAGATCGGACATTTCCCCAGGAAAAACAAGCCCTTCCCCGGGGAGTTGCTTAGTTTGAAAAGGGGTAAAAGACATGACTAGCAAGAAAATGTAGGTAACTCTAAATCTAACCATGATGTTCATGCTCAAGTTAGACGAGTGTTAGTCAGATGCGCTAGAACAAGAAAATATGGTATTGGCAATGTACATGTACGTCTGACTTCGATAAATTTTGTGAATCCCGAGGGTTGTATCAAATTATTATTTTTGTACTACCCGGTAGGCCTAGGGATCTACCATGTTCAGGGTTCAGTTTGTGAATTTTTAAATCCTTGAAACTTGGTTATTAACTAGTAAGGGATGACTTAATTTCTACCTTTATTGTTTCTCAAGTGATTACTCCAAATTCAACAAACTGCAGCTTGCAATTGACCATTTTTCATAATGTAATCAAATTTAATGCATAAATCTATGTACATGTAACAAACTATTTCATTCACAGCTACATATGTAGGACTGTAGGTTACGCAAACTGCATACATTTATTGTTGCTAGCTAGGTACTTGTAGGACAGGCATTTTGGCTTGTCCTACCTAACAACACGGAATGTATGCAATTCCCATCCTAACGATTGGAATAAAATTATTCATAACAGGTGAATGAATCATTCGTAGGGACCCGGAGGCACTTAACAAACATGTGTGCATTAAATTTGAGTACATTAAGAAAGTGGCCTATTGGATGTACTATTTGATGAAGTCACATTGGTTTTAAGTTGGTAGGAAGGAAAAGCGTGAATTTCACATGCTGCCAAAATAGCTTGAATAAAAACAAAATCAAGAAGAAAAAAAATTATCAGAACAACCACAACAAATATCAATTTTTATTCCTCCATATTCCCTTAAAAAAAGGTAATAACAGAAAACGCAAAGAGTCAATAGTCATTGCGAAGAAATACATGAAAATGATTTATGCAAGCCCACTCAAAATTAAGATGAAATGAAAGTGAGGAAGGGACACCCACCCCTCCTATTCAATCAAGTCACAAATAATTACACAACTTATCCTCATGTTGTCATATGATTTATGAATGGTTGAGAAACTTGGGTCTTTGCAAATCATTTGTACAGGTAGATTCATTTTCTGTTAAACAAAAATCTGTTGCTGCTGAAAACTTTACTAAACTAAACTGGGTTTTTTTTTTTTTAAGTTTCATTTTCGAATCACTTAATACACCAATGTCATGAACTAATTTATTTGTTTTTCAAGAGTTCAAGTGGTGAATTATGATTGGAAAGAGTGGTATTCTAACTAACTAAACATAATTAACAGGTATTAAAGCTTCTTATGAGAATCATTTATGAATCAAATCAATCAATCAAGAATCAGGAATGATAAAGAGAATAACAAAACTAAATTGATGGATTGGTTTCATTTTAAGATCATTTGTCTGATATCAAGAGCTAATTTCTGTCGTGAAAGGGATGGAACTGAAATAAAGTATAGAGAATTTAAAAAGTAGAATGATTTGATAGGTTGCTCACGTGCTTTCTTAGTACTCAGGTAAAATAAAACAAACGAACAAACAAAGGTTACATGTACAGTACAACCATAAGTTTATTCTTCTGATCAGGAACCAATATCTGTTACTAAAGGGGGGTGGAGCTGCAGTAAACAAGACAAAACTACATACATGTATAACCTAGTACATGTACATGTAAATGTAAAAGGTAGTAGACTTTAAATAGTTTGCAGTTCCAAAGTTCACCACCGAATTTGAGTAGTGAACTATGAAATCACAGGCTAACTGGAATTATTTACACTTAAGCATACAAGATTGTGATAATCATGTTTGATGCATTTTTTAATCCAGAAGTGAGATGCAATATATGTGCAACTTTATTGTGATAGGTAAATATAGCGAGGATTAAGGAATGTATACCTAGGCTACAGGTACTGGTATTAAACAAACAGTTCAAAGTTCATCAACAGGAATGCAGCTACATGTACATATATTTACCCATCTTGACAAAATGTATGTTACAAGCAAAATTGAATTTCCAGGTGTACAGTATACATGTAACCAAAAGAAATAAAGAGAAGGGGGAGGGGGGGGGTGTACATTGCATATCTACAATGTAGTAGATATAATTGAAAATTTTTTAAACAGCAACAACAAAAGGGCGGGGGGGGGGGTGATTGGCCTTGCCTGTCCTATTCATTCTGCCTTCAAGGGTAAAAAGGGCAGATTTACACATTTTTTGTACAATAATGAATTTAGCAGCCCCCCCCCCCCCCAAAAAAAAAAGAAAAAAAGAAAAAAAAAACACCCATATGAGAAGGGTGCATATAATGGTTTCTTTGTGTTCTGGTTGAAGAGAGAACAAGAGGGAAATGGTGAAAGGAAAATGCAAGAGAGAAACACTGATAGTTCACAAAGAGAGAGGGAGGGAGGGGAGGGGGAGAGAAGGAGAATTGAAAATATGAAAGAGACATCAACACAAGTCACATTATATGTATATACATGTATGCATGATAAGAATCGCTGACTGTCCTTTTCAAGGCACTATAGATGCTTTGTTTCCCTTCTTACAAAAATACATACAATGTAATTTTGTGTTTATAAACAATTATGTCTTTTTGTCGGACCAAGGAGTTTTGATTATTATTTTATACAGATTGGATATTTACTTCAAATAAATTGTATTTTCATTTTAGGAAAAGACAATGATCCAGCTAAGGTAGCGACTGCGGAGAAAGGTATAATTCTACCATTCGTCTATCTTGCCTATTTCCAGCAAAAAATAAAAGCTGCTACCATATCCCATTGCTATTGTAATCTCTAATGTTGTAATTTCAGTGAAAATATACAGGTACCCATTTATGCATTATAATGTAATCTTGCAGTGTGTACATTACATTGTTTGTTCAATGATCATAGACATATCAGTACCATGGCTCAGTACCCTTTGGTTTCATCTTCATAATGACTACAGTCGATTATTCATTGTCACATTACATTCCACCAAACCACTTTATTTTAAACATGAAAAGAAAGAGAAAAAAACAGAAGAGATGTTAAGAGTGTTTAGCCTTGTTCATTGATAAAATGTTTACATCAGCATTCATGAAACAATTTGATTTTAAAATATTCCCTAAATCATGCATATGTTGTAATTGTTTATTTAATTTACTGTGCTGCCTCGTCATATTTGTTATGCAAACAATCGATCATGATTGAGGCTGTTTGCTCTGAAAAGAAAAAAAAAGAGTGCTTAGCAAATTAGCAATGGGAATTATGGGACATTTAAAAAGGAAGTGGATTATATGTTACCCTAAGGCCTAGGTTAGTTTCACTTTCGCATTCAGCATATATTGATTTTCTATCATCCTGGCTGTTTTTATAGAGGTATCGAGTGTTTAAGATGAAGATAAGATATTTATTAAGAAAGATATTTTGTGTGCGTGTGCCTGACTTTTTTTTTTAAATGTCAAGCATTACAATGACAAAAATGAAACCACCCTATCTAATCATACAAATCACCAATCCTGTATTTATGGTAATTGTTCCCATTGAATTGATCATATTTTTGCAAACATTGCTGTAATTTTCAAACCATTACCAATTTACCATTTCATCCCAATATCGTAAAAATTTGGGTTCAAATTTATGGGTGTAAACTGTAAAATACTGTATAAGCTTCAATTTTACACATGCATCATCAATTTCAAATTTAGTCCTCCATGTACTGTACATGCAACCTGTAAAAATGTATCAAATGTTCAACCTCATTTATCTGACAAAACGAAAGAGAAACTGAAGAAGTAAACACATATTAAGAAAGAGAATAGTATCTTGAAGGAAAAAAAAAAGGATCTAGGAGGTTACAACCCGGTACATAATGTTGAAAATGATATCTTTTAATTTGCCAACCCCAAACACAAATAGTAAAAAGTTTTAGACAAATAATACTTGTGGAAAATGCAATATTTCAGATTTTATGAAATTGTAATCAATAATCATCTAGCTAGACATACGTAGAATGAAGAATAAACGAACATACATGTTTCTCTGCAATACTTTTTCTTCACTAATCTGTTAAGTCACAGGCAAGTATGCACCTGAAAGTGAGAATCCTTTAATAGATGAAATCTAGACTTGAGCTGCATTGACACTGCAACCTAAAATCATTGATTTTTCTCTCATCCCTGTATTTCAACCAAACACGCCAAAAAATCCTCCTCTGGAGGGTGGTTTTTTTCAAACACCTGCCAAAATTTGACAGATTTTTGCAGTGTAAATGCAAACTTTGGTAAGATACTGATTTTTGCTTACGTGACTCTCCTGGCATCCATGCATGACACCGATGATTGGTGCATGCACACTTCTCATTAAAAATCGTTATGAACAAACTTCATAAGTTTTTTATAGGTTTATCCAGTAGTGTAAATGCTCGACCCAAAATTGAACGATTTTTCAAAACAGTGTTTTTGGATGTGTGAATGGGCCTTTTGGTAACAACTCGTTGAGGAGAGGACAGATGGTATCATTCACCCTCTTGACATTTAGAAAGTAAATCAACCATTTATAAAGATTCGATCTTTGGGGTTCACACAGCTAAAACGTACCAGTATATGAATAGTGAGATTCAAGAGGTTTTGCGTTTCACGCAGACTCCAAAAATAAAATGAACTTACATTGATGTACTTGGTTTCAAGTTCAGTTTTCAGTATTTTTAAAAATTAATTCTCAAAATGTGCCTGTTTGTTAACATCCAGGCTGTTACATCACTTATGGGAAGTTGCGATTGATTGCAAGTTTCAAAATTTGCAACTGATATTTGCAATCGATTGCAACTCAACTTTTTTGCAACGCCTCTCTAATCTCCTAAATTTTCTAAGATTTTGTTAGGGTTAAAGTTTTAACAATTAAATTAAGTTAACTCGATCTAGCTTTTATTCTCCCCCACCCCCTCTTTCTCTCTCCCCCCTCCCCTCTTTCTCTCTCCCCCCTCCCCTCTCTCTCTCCCCCCTCTCTCTCTCCCCCTCACTCTCTCCCCTCTCTCTCTCCATCCCTCTCTCTCTCCTCCCTCTCTCACCCCTCTCTCTCTCTCCCCCCCCCCCCCTCTCTCTCTCCTCTCTCTCTCTCTCTCTCTCTCTCTCCTTCCTACTAATGGGACATCAATTGCAAGAATGTTGAGTTGCATTCAATTGCAAATTTGCGATTAATCGCAAGACTTAATCTTGATTTCAGCAGGGAAAAAATTAATATTTATTTTTTGGGGCTACTTTTCAAGCTTACCTGCATGAATATAACATTCTAAAAATTTGTATTGAATTGAACTCTATGCAAATTTACAGGGGCTCTTTTCTGATTTTCGGGGGCTATTTTGGGCATTTCAGGGGCTAATTCGCCCCGAGCCCCCGTGTATTTTTTTCACTGGATTTCAGGGATTTGCAATTGATTGCAACTTTCTTGCAACGCCCCATTAGAGTACCCACAGTAAGATTGGTTACTGATTAACCAAACCCATTTTTTCCCCTCAGTAACCAACTACCTTTTCGGTCCACAAATTTAATTCCAGCCTATAAAAGTCATTTCTCTGTTCATCGTAAATGTGAGTCACTATGTACAAGTAGTATTTACTTTTTCAACTGAAGGCCCTTGAGAGACAATATATTCAATTAGCTCTCCACACTCGTGATATTGAAATGTGGTTGGGCATTTATTTGCCCATGTCTACATTGAAATAAACCACATGAATTTGTGTATTGTTGATTGTTCTCCCTCAATGCATAATGTTAGAGTATTCATACCTTTATAAGAATTTCCCTTTCCTTGCATTTTCACCCCGTTGCTCATTGGTACATCAAATTTCATGCTAATTTATTCATCAAGGTCTAGTGTATTAACTGAGTGATGATCTATCTACATGTACATGCATATTTCATACAATCATGAAAGTTCATAAAATGTATTGTTGATACATATCGTTTGGGAGGTAAAGAAGATATTGAAATCAAAACTTTAACTTCCAATTCAAAAAATATTCCATATACCTGTACATGTACAAGTACATGTACCGGTATATCATTTTATATCTGTTTTATGTTTCATCCAGCAAATTTATTTGGCCTTTTTTGCTCTTAGCATCATGATAAAAGAGTGGAACAAATAGATAAATCATGATTTACGTCAGGTGGAGTCATTTCGAAATGTCAATTGTGGCTCATTGGCTCATCTACATATACGATCTGAGTGCCAATCTTGTCAAAATGTCAAGTATAAGACAAGACACTACTTGGGCCTCAGCATACTCAGCTGCCTCATGTACTGGTTCAATATATAAAAAAAAGGAACAAAATCTACCCAACATCTGCCCTTGGAAAATTAGACATCAGTTGTAACCATGGCAACATTAATTAAAAAGAGAAATTAGTGTCATACCATGCCCCATACAGCATCTGCTACATGAATTCAACTCATTGATGCCATTCACTTAATTATTACAACACCCCCCCCCCCCCCCCCCCCCCCCCCCCCCCCCCCCCCCCCCCCCCCCCCCCCCCCGTTCTGTTCACTGCAGGATTGTCAGGTCAAAAAGAGGAGTTTTAGGCTATGAGAAAATCATTTGGGTTCTCATTTTTTACAAATTTGGCTTTAATTTTCGTGTTACCGGATTTACCGGTATTTAGATGCTTTTGCAACTCATGCTGGAAGAAAGACAGTCATGAGGACTTGATTCTCACATTCAAAACTCTTTACCTCATACCAATTTTTTGTTTTGTCTCACTTTTTATTTTGGTGTTTAGTCATATTGGTAAATTGAAATCCAAACCTGCATCGGGCCTCATAATTTAAGAAAGTTAAAAATGTGCATTTTATATGTGACAATGCCAAAAGTTATGTTCTGGACTGGATTGCATTAAAAAAAAATGTACACAACATATTGTCGACATTGTCTGCTGACAAGTCAGCTGAGACTAGACGTATCCCACCCAGGCTCTACATGTATGTGTATTCTGTGTATGAGTCAAAACAAAAGAGAATACCTCGAACGACTTCCTATAATACCAATACTATTCAGATCAACGTTATCAAGAGAATCTGGCCATATAAAAATAAGGGAGTTTATTGCACTTGTGCCACTTTGCCAACAAAAATAGAACAATGCTTAAAGGGATCCAGTAACTTTGTCTGGAATTTTGTCTGGATTTAGCTCATGATGCAATGAAAATTATAAACCTTTAGGTCAGTCAGGAACCCCATGACTTTTACAAGCCGATCGCCTGTCTGATTATCAAGATATTTATGATTGGAATTACAAATTTTGGAAACTGTTCGCCTGACGGTTTTCATAACACTACAGTCTATTGGGGAAAACGAGTATGGTAAAACCGGTCACTCAAAGAATTTTACTTTTTTAAGGCGCTTCTTGATCATTTTGAAGCGCAATTTTTTTAGGGCTTCAATATTACACCATATCACTGACACTGATAACACGTAGGGCCGTGTATCTCAGATTTAACATTGTTAAATGATACCTTTAATAGACCTGTAGGGATTCTAGGGAATACAAATTGACTTAAATTGTACATGTACATGTAATCCAACTATTTGTGAAATTTTGTTTCCTTCTTAATTGTCATACATGTTTATACAAGGATCATATCGTCATTTCCGTATGAACTTTTATACATTTATAAATTTTGTTATTTCCACTTGTCAACTGTACAACTGCAGGTACAGGTACCCAAACATACATGTACTTAGCGTGTTTCATCATACAGAAATGCCCATGCATCGATAGACAACAATAATAGACGCATACCCACCATTACAATGACACCTGGAAGGGTGAAAAAAATAACAATGAAATTCAATCTTTTTGAGTTATACACCTGAATGAGCAGTTTTTGAACCCCCAATAGATCTATAATATGATGTGTGTTTGAATGCATTATAGAGCAATTTTTTTTTTTTTTAGAGTTTAATACATTAGACATCAACTTTTTTTTTTTCCTTTCCAAAGTTAACATTGATCTAAATGTATTACCCTGTCAAATATGATATAATTTTTGGTATTCATAACATGCTGTTTTCAAGTGCCATCAACTTCAAATTTCCCTATTTTTTTCCTTCAAAAGTTCTTGTATTACGCTGGTGAATATAATTTCATTTTGGTATTCATAACATGCTGTTTTCAAGTGCCGCATCAAGATATTTCATAAACTGTCATTAACTCTTTGTCTTCTGGATTGGGTAGTCCATGTATTATAAACCTATGGAAATAAGAAAATTCAGTTGTCAGCAGGTTAATGGCTCAAACACCTAAAACATTCAGAGATATTTTTTCTCACATCCATCCCATGAAGGAGGATCTATTACATCCCATGACAGATCTATTACATCCCATGACAGATCTATTACATTCCATGGCGGATTTATGAAAGAACTATTGAACTACTTTCACCTCTTTAATTATGTAGATCAAAATGTTAGTTTCTATGAGAACTTGAGTTTTCTCACAACACGAAGACAAGGAGTGGTAGGAACAGTGTGGAATTGAATTTAAGGAAGCTACTTCCTGGGCTGGTAGAAGGTAAATAATTGGTCTTTTGTTAGGTTTCGTTCAAGTACACCCTTCGTTACATAGAGGACATCCTGCTTTCGTAGAAATCGTGAGAATTGTAGAAATAGTACACCATCTGCCAATGTGCAATGCAGTTGCAATGCTTCCTTATTTGAAGAAATTATTGAAGCTGACAATAAGTTTGATACAATTTCATAACTCTTTGGAACAATCTGCTCATTATGCCTTTCATTCTAAGTTTTGATAAGGTTCGTGTTCACATTTTAAAAGATTAATGCTTCAGCAATCTCTGATACAGAGGGACAACCTGTCTATAAATACGTCATCTTCCTTGAATGGTCTTTATAGTCAGGTTTCACACCCTCCATATACCAGTGTCTATGAATGAGAAGAATCATATTATGTCAGTTCAAAGGGAGAAAGGAAACGGCCATAACGATACCTGTCATTCCTGATTTTAAATGTACTACAGAAAATTTCTGAATGTGAAAGGCCTATATGTTTAGTTCCAAGGGATGAAAAATGAAAGTACAGTCATTCAAGTTGCTTATGAAAATGTTTAAAATATCTTCTTGTTATTATGCATTACAGAGAAGCTTCTGGAAGGAGAGGATACCCACATGTCCAGCTTCTTGACCGACTGGGACACGGAGGCTGACCAGGGTGGAGGACGCATGGTCACGGCCGACAGCGGCGATGACCACTCCGTCGACAGTCTTCCCATGTCACCCGACGAAGCCAACTCCAATCAGAATGCAGACATGCTGGTGCGAGGCATGGCACCGGTCCTGGTTGGCGAGGAAACGAGCCACGCCTTCTTCTGCTTCGCATGGGAGGATGACGAATGGGCCATCAACGTGATCCGGAAGCTGGAATCCTCCGCTTACGGTTTCTCATGTGATAACAGCAACCACAAGTGGGATCCGGGCGTCGCCAAAATGGACAAGATCATCAATTCCATCTCCACCGCCAAGAAGCTGGTGCTTGTCGTAACGCCAGACTTTATGCGCAGTCCGTGGTGCATGTACGAGAACCTGCGCGCTCTGCGCGGCCATTATACGAACACGGCGAAAGTCATAGTGGTGGTGTTGGGTGAGATAGAACTCCCAGATTTTCTTGAAGGGATACCGACCATTAACGCGATGTCGAGGAACTTCTGGCAGAGGTTTGTTGCCGCACTGAGATTAGGTAGGTGCCTGAAGACACATCAGAGCCTAATTCAAAGCATTTTATCTCGTATAAGACCTTCTATCTGGAAAAGTATCGGTATGTCAACATGACAATCTTCGTGATTGTGTTTATTTGGAGAAGTTTTATGATTATGTAGAGAGAAAACCTGCTCCTTGTCCTGAGACGATTTTTTAATGGTATTGCAAGCTCTACCTGGGCCCCGTTTCACAAAGCCCTTTTTCAATGACAAATGACAGAAATCAGTGACAAATCCGCTGATAACCAACCAGAAGCAAGGATTTCAGTAGCTTATAACAAAACCTGTCATTTTTCACTGATGACAAGTTTTTTTGAAACGCCCCTCTGCTCCTTGTCCTGAGACGATTTTTTTCATGGTATTGCATAATTGCAAGCTCTACCTGGTCTAAGTAAACAGGTCATGAATAAAAGCACAACCAAAACACAGTTGTGCAACATTTTAAGATTGTCTTGCTATGATACAATGATTACAGATAATGTGTATTCAACTTCTTTACTCTACCGTAATGCGGCATATCTATAGACAAGCATTGCACAGACGAGCCCTTGGAAACGATGCACACTAGTAGCCCAAAGGAATTTTGGACATGTCACATGAGACTCTTTCTTACTTTCTCTTTCAATTTCATTCTTGTATTTTAATCAGGGGTAGGGTAGGGTCTTATAAAAGGTCGGTATTGATCTGGATTCATCGCAAGTCCTCCAATCAATCCCAAACTTTCCAACTCCTATTTCTTTAGTCCAGAATTGCAATTGATTTGAATTAATCACACCTGTTCATAGGATGGGACTCAGAATTCAAAAGTGAATGTGAATGCTTTGTATCATGGGCTCTTTCCTTTCAGTCTGTTGTATAAATCCATAAACTCAAAATGAAAGTGAATTAGCTTCATTATACAGTCACTTTTCCTCGTGATGTTTTGGGACGATCAATAATGATTTTGAAATGAGCAGTGTTTGAAGGTCTCTTTCTCAGAACCCCGATTCGCCACAAACTGAATGTGAATTGAATAACATTGCTTACATTGTTTTCACCGTCTCTTAATACTATTTCAATGTGTGGGTAAGATTTAGAATTGCACTCCCCAGGGAGTGGAGAATGTGCTCTGGGGTATTAATGAAGGGCTTTAGTCAGTTAATTGAAATGTGCTATATTGGAAATTTGTTATCATTATTTTTTTTTTAAAATTAATATTATTATTTATTGTTATTATAATCATCTAATCATCATCATCATCATCATAATCATTATTGTAATCATCTATTTCAATATCTTGTAGGTTCTAGCTTGGATGCTCACGATGCCTCTCTCAACAATAATGTGCCTGGTAAGTCGATAATTACCGGTCGATAACCCGTTGCATACCGGACCTACATCGTTATGTATTAAGCCCATGGGAGAAGAGATAATTCAGTCTGCAATGTGTTGATTAAGCTTATTGGGTCAAAGTCTGAGTGGAGTGCAAACATGGTGGGGATGCTTTAATGATTATTTAATCATTGAATTGAATTAGAAAGGAAAGACTGTTTGCAGGCATGTGTTTATATTGGCACAATTCTCATGCAGTCTGTATAGGAATGCATGTATGTGTAGCACATAAAAATAACATGTATTGCATTTAAATACATTTGTGTGGAATAAATGAAATAAATTGAGTTCCTTTCTGGCCAATATTGTAGAGTAAATAGACTTTTGACAGGGTGGCAGGATTACGTTGTTATTTGTTGACTACCGGTATGCATTGAAAAAGAGGATAACGTGAAATTAAAATACCCCCAATATACCTTGAATATACCTTGAAGGCCACACTTCGCCATGGAAGTGATGAAGATCCCTAGATAGTGTGGTGTGGCAGGGTTAAGGGGGTCCCATGGGACCCATTTTAAAACCCAGGTTGGATAATTGTCGCTTGAATCTGAGGAGTGTGGGAGCATCAATGGCAGTTTTTTGCAGCATGTTCCCCTTATTTACAAATCTCTGGCTATAGAAATTTTTCCTGATGTCAAGGCGGCTTCAGTGCTCATCAACATTTGAATGGCCAGATGCCCCATTTCGCAATTTTCTTTCAGAGGCTTATTTATTGTTAAATGGCTGTGCTCACTCATATATAAATGGTATGATTTCAATTGCATATTCTCTTACAGAGGATTTTTTTTTTTTGATGTATGAAAGATATTTTAAATTAAAAGTTTATTTGAATATCTGAACTATAAATAGTGTCCACTTTCCTTTTTTTTATTGAGTGAAAATTGATGTGTATGAGAGCAATTTGTAAGAATGACATCCTATTTGATTTCTCTTTTCAGCCCTGTACAACAGTGCTCATCTGGCGACCATCCAATCAAGTACAGATTGCTGTTGCAAGGCAAGATTTGATACCATCTACTGTCCTGATGAACTAGCAAGGAAAGGAGTTCAGGTAGGTTTCTCCTGTTCTTCAATAGCTCCCCTATTATTCTGAGATATCAAACTATTTATTGAGATTTAAGCGACTTGGACATGAAACAGATTGCAGTTTGTAAGGCAAGAATTGATACTATCTGTCCAGATGGACTAGCAAGGAAAGGTGTTCAGGAGTGGTCCCCCACTATTCAATTTGTAATAATAACAATAATGATAATGACGACAATGACATCAACAGCAACAACATAAAAAATAACTACAATAACAGCAACAGCAGCAGCAACAATAGCAGTAATGATGACTCCTTGCACCCGAACATAAATTCTCTTGGGGGCCCTTGTCAAAGCGGAATGGCCAATATGTGACCCTCATAACCATGTGGAGAGTGGATTAATGTCTTGCCATAGGCGTACTATGCCTGCCCGGCTGGGATTTGAACCCTCGACCCTTTGGGTGATTCTCAAAGAAAGGGTTAAGTTTTTTTTTACTAGACAGACATTATCTGTCTTGTGGGCTCTCAGTCTCGAGGGTGGTTAGGTCTACTAGGATGTTCTGGTTTTTAAAACCATTTGTCACTGACTATAAGTAGCTTTGAATGTTCCTTGATTAGATCGTTAGTTAGACATCCCAATTTTAGAAGCTTTTGGTGATAGTTCATTTTCACATCCTGAACTATACCTGTGGAATCAGTTGCCCTAGGACATTCAAAACATATGTAGGTTGCTGTAAAATGCCCTCAAAGCTCATCTGTACAATCTTGCTTTCCAGTAGGTCTTCATGTTTGTATTTTGTAAGTTGTTTCATTCTTTACTTTCTTTTCTTCTGCATCCCAAGCACATTAGCCATAAGGAGTTGCTTGTGTTATGAGCTGCAGATTTCCCTCTTAATCATCATGTTGGAATATTTTTTTTATTTTCTTATTTGACTCTGTAGATACCTCAGCAGGACTACACTGCAGCCATCTCCTCCATCCTGGACGCTCCCAAGATGAGATGGTACACCCTGTGGTACAACCGTCTCTTTAGCTCCCTCGTCTGTGCCATCATCACCGCCCTCATCATCGTGGGCGTGGTCGGTAACCTTAGTAACTTCCATAACAAGGAGTCCGGTGGTCTCCATGTGGGGATCTCCCTCCTCATCGCCTTTGTCTTGTCGGCCGTCGTGGTCGGTCTCCTGCATCTTATTGTCTTCTATGAGAAGAGAAAGGTGAGTCTTCAATGAGGGATCCTTAGCCCCTTTGGTTTCACTATTAAAGTTTATGTTATGATAGTAATAATAATGATAATAACGATAATAACGATAATAACGATAATAACAAGGAGAAGAAGAAGAAAATGGATGGGAGGGATGAGGAACGAGGAGAAGGAGAACAAGAGGTCCATTTATATACATGTAGTTCAGCTATATGTATATAACCTACGGTGCTTGAATGAATGAATGAATTATCAAGAGTAGAACTGTGCCTGTTGATGATGATGATGATGATGAACAGCATTTGTATAGCGCCTGTTTCATTTATTGTTTCATTGTCTGATATTAAAGGCCCTAAAACATCTGTGGAAACACCTTGATATGTACATGCACATGCACTTTCTCTGAAATTTACCTTCAATGTTATTTAATTTTGCGAAAAAAATTGTTTAGTGTTAGAACTTGCTTTTACGATTTCAGAATTATTATATATATTTATCACCATATGGAATGCAAATTTGAGCTGACAACTGCCTTTTCTTTTGTTTCTTATCTTTTCTCAGTTGAATGGTTTAATAGAGGCTAACCTGTCCCGTGCTAACATGATCTTCTGTAAGCACAACATCCTGGTCGGGATGACCGACAGATTCAACTGGTGCTGGAATAGAGCTGTGGTATCCTTTCAAATGAAGAGTAAAAGTAAAAGAAGCAAAAGTTATGAGGGAGTGGTGTTAATGTAGCTCTGAAAAGCTTTAATAGAGATCCACAAAACTCAAAAAGAGATCTGGTTGACAACAAAAAAGGAGTATATTATAATGAGAGGCACCATCTCTCTTATCCTAAAACAATTATTTACACAATTATTTATACGGAAAGAGAAGATAACTAAACTTAAAGGTAAAGACCAGTATTGGAAATGCCCCAATTTCAAAAAATGAAATGGAAGCTCTCATTACCAATCATGTGAAAGAATATGTTTTGACTAATACATGATGATAAAAAATTTGCCGGGAAACCGCCTACTAATTCATATATTTGGTAAATTTGTTTCTCTCATGGTCTGTGAGAGATATAGGGTAGTCCCATATACATCTTTCTGTGTATAGTGCTTGTAACTTTACGAAGAATGGGCCAAATTTCTTATCATTTTGATGATTCCAGAACCTTGCAGATGCTAGATGATCAACCTTTTCTGATCGATTCCACAACGTTTCTTTCACAATGCAATCGCATGACCATAACTGGTCTTTACCTTTAAGTGCATATGGAATGTATAGTGGTTGGTATTCAGTGGGATTTGAAGTATTGGTAATAGTAATAATGGTTGTAGAATTAAAATGTATGCGTAGAAATGGTAAAGAGTTTTTATACTGTAACTGTCAACTATATATGTAAAGCAATTTGTACTAAAAGTTCATATGCAGAAACATCTGCAATAATCCAAAAGCAGAAATCCCTCCTAGAGATATAAGGAAAAACAGCATGTGATTTCAATGAATTGAAGTGATGGACTTCATTCTATGGTGATCTTTTAAGCCCTTTTGCACTAGTTTGACCAGGAGGGATTAGACCTCCCTGCATGGTCACTGACAGGTGGTTAACTTATCAAATAAGCTCAATTAACATAAGAAAAAGAGGATCATGGGGGACCAATGGTCACCGATTAGGCATTGTTTGCTATATAGAGGGCGCAAGTAGCTATAAGTAGTGCAGTTGGGCTTTAAGTGTGAGTTTAAGATAACTGGAGCATGTTTTTCTTCATTATTTATGATGGATTCTCTGTTAATTGTGATACCTATTTTGCCTTAACTTGTGCAATATCAGCTCCACTTCATATACTTTGATTTGACAGACTGTAGGGTGAGTGTACATTTCATTCCGTCTTTTTATTTTTTTTAAGAATCCTAGACTTCTTCATGATTTTGCTCCAACACCATGTGATTCATATTTTATAATAAAGGATATATGTTTAAAATTTACTGAGAAGAAAAATGCAATGAGCATGATTGGAAAGTGTTATGTGATATATTGATAAGTTTTTTTTTAATGAACATGAATTATATAATGTGTGTGCTGGAGATAAGAACAAGAAATGGAAAGCCGAGTCTATACCTCACAACAGCAAAAAAGTTTGTAGAAGTCCCCATATTTGTGGTCAGTTAGCCATCCATTGCTGATATTAAAAAATGAATGTATGCTTTGTCCGAAGTCTTATATCAGAACAAGTCTTCAACTTTTATTAAAGGGGTTATTAAACTAGATATCTTCTGGTTCATTAAATTGCATCTGAAAAATGTATAATTGATTATTATTGTTTGATCATGACAGAAAGAGATGATACAGTTCTTGAGTGACAATCGCGTCAGAGGAGATGGAGATATGGGTTTAAATCAGGTATGTATGAAAGAACTCTTTGATTGCATGGGTACAGGTTTGTGGTGGTAATGATGATGATGATGATAGTGGTGGTGGTGGTGGTGGTGGTGGTGGTGGTGGTGATGATGATGATGATGATGATGGTGATGGTGGTGGTGGTGGTGGTGGTGGTGATGATGATGATGATGATAATGATGGGAGTGGTGGTAGTGGTGATGATGATGATGATGATGGTGGTGGTGGTGATGATGATGATGATGATGATGGTGGTGGTGGTTGTGGTGGTGGTGGTGGTGATGATGATGATAATGATGGTGGTGGTAGTGGTGATGATGATGATGATGGTGGTGGTGGTGGTGGTGGTGGTGGTGGTGGTGGTGGTGGTGGTGGTGGTGGTGGTGGTGGTGGTGGTGGTGGTGGTGGTGGTGGTGGTGGTGGTGGTGGTGGTGGTGGTGGTGGTGGTGGTGGTGGTGGTGGTGGTGGTGGTGGTGGTGGTGGTGGTGGTGGTGGTGGTGGTGGTGGTGGTGGTGGTGGTGGTGGTGGTGGTGGTGGTGGTGGTGGTGGTGGTGGTGGTGGTGGTGGTGGTGGTGGTGGTGGTGGTGATGATGAACTTATGATGATGTAGAGGAGGAGGATGATGATGATGATGATGATGATGATGATGATGATGATGATGATGATGATGATGGGGGTGGTGGTGGTGGTGGTAGTGGTAATGGTGGTGAAGATGAAGATAAAGATGATGGTGGTAGTAGTGGAGATGATGATGATGTAGAGGAGGAGGATGATGATGGTGGTGGTGGTGGTTGTTATGGTACTAATAATGAGGAGGAGGAGGATGATGGTGTTGGTGTTTATGTGGAGGATGATTGATTATAATGATGGTGGTGGTAATGATGATGATGTTGAAGAGGAGGAGGATGGTGGTATTGATGAAGAGGAGGAGGAGGAGGAAGATGTTGATAATGGTGATGATGATGTTTATGGTGACAATGCTTGATCATAATACTGCTGATGATGATGATGTTGATAATGGATGATGATGGTGGTGATGATAATGATGTTGATGATGCTCCATAGGATGATACAACAATAATTCTTTTCAACAATATCTTCCATTCCAGAACTCATCAGTAAGCGTTGAAATGCTGCCCTCATCAGGGGGAGATGGAGATGATACAACCCGGCTCACCATAGACACCAGACTACGGACATTATCTCCACAGACTCTCATCGCAGACACAGACCCAAGATCAATAGCGGTAGGTCTATTTCTAGTTTCAGAAACAAGGTTCTAGGATAATTTGCTAATTATCTTTATTGATCGTGGTAGGATTAGTAGGGGTAGAACAAAATCATTAACTTAAGTTGCCTTGAAGGATATCACAGTTTCATTGAAATGAAAGATATGAAGGTAAGGTTGAAGAAATTTTACGAAAGGGAAAGCCAAGAATCTTGGAAAATACAAAAACCTCCAATGGAATTAGAGTTTCAAGGTTATGTAAGAATTCTAATGAACAAATAGATGAAAGAGCAGATGAAATTATGAAAGTGACTACTGGAGTGGGAAATGTCGGAACAATACAGTCAAACCTGCTTTAGTGAACACTTGTCTTCAAAGACCATCTGTCTACAGAGACCACTTTTTGTGTTTCCCTTGGGCAGTTGCTATAGACAGGTTCGACTGTATTACATTTTACTATAAGGCATGTTTCTGAAAAATGAAAGTCGGTTCTTTCTGGACAGTTATATGATTACCACTTTTTCATGTATTTCAGCCCTCCATCAAGGTCATACTTGTTTACATCCAAGTCAATAATGGTCTCATTGGAGAATTGATATCTAGCCGTTCTGTGACAAGTTTATTTACAATGTTTTTATTTGTCTGCTTTTATGTTCCTCTGCTAGATTTTCATCACATTGTTTGTACATGATATACTGCAGTGAAACCTGTCTATAAAGACCACCCAAGGGAGACAAGGAAAGTGGTCTCTATAGGCAGATGGTCTTTATGTACAGGTTCCTTTAGTACATGTTTCAATGAGAAACAATTTTCCAGGGAAACAAAAAAATGTGGTCTTTGTAGATGGGTGGTCTTTCTATACAGGTGGTCACTAAAGCAGGTTTGACTGTATTTAAAGGCCGTCTGTATTAGTTTGGCTAGGAGGGATTAGACCACCCAGGAAGGTCACTGACAGGTGGCTATCTCATCAACCCAGCTCTCAATTAAAATAAGAAAAAGAGGATCATGGGGGACCAATGGTCACCGATTAGGCATTGTTTTCTATATACAGGGAGCTAGGAGCTACAAGTATTACAGTGGGCCTTTAATATTTCTTTCACTCTGTACCATCTCTACGCAGGAGGAAGCAGAGCTGTACCTCATGCAGCACAGTGCACCGTATATCAACAAACTACTCAAAAAGCAATTGGTGGGACCGTTGCGAAAGAGACATTGTAGAACCACGGTTTGCCTTTGTCAATTTACCCAGAAGACGGTCTTCTGCGCTCCCGTGTAACGTTAACTTGAAGTTGGCACAATCTCATTCAACTTGTGTGGCATCTTCATTTCATTTGAACTAATAGGTTTGATTGTTGGATACAATATTAAAGGTTATCATCGCCGTCACCATCCTTAAGCGTCCGTTTTTTTTACGTGCCATTGGGTTGGACATTTCATTACCCTCCTTGCACTTCTCCAGTGAATAAAGTCCAAAAGGAGATGTAAGTGTTAGGTATCTGGGCACTGTGTGTTCGATTGATAAGGGTTTACGGTAGATTTTTTATGAGATAGAAAGTATTTTAATGTGTTAATTGTGCCTTTTTTGTCAATAATTGAATTGGATTTTGCTACGATAACTCTGTTGCTCGATCATTTGTGAATATGTGAGCACGATATATAAATTTAGGAATATGGTATATGTACAGTACTCGGATATAACAGATGTATAACTATTTCTTCTTGTGTTTATTCCATCGAATGGAAACTTTTGAAGTACTAAATGTAATCGTTGATGAGAATCTGTGTCTATTCTCTCTTCTATAATGCTTTTTCTACAGGATTTCCTTGGAGAGAATTTGTTATCATTTTGTTTTGTTTGTAGCATTTTTCAATGTAGCGGTGGTTTATTTGACTGTTTTTACTTTGCTAGAATGTGCATTTGTTTAAATATGTGTCTATTACACCCCAATACATAAGAAAAGCTCGATCAATATGAATTTTGTACAACTATTCTTGTATATAATAAGAATGAGCAGGTATTATCATTATTGCCAAAGTACTCATGGGGGTATGTTTGTGCCATTTTGCTCAATACATAGAAAGGATAAAGAAAATGAGAAAAGTTGTTCAGAGAGTTGATTGAGAATGGAAAAAATGGAGATTCAGCATCCTATTCTACATGTGAATTATTGACCAAACGTGGACTAAGATTATTGCCTAACAAAATTTAAAAAGATATTGGAGATAGTAGTGGTTTTGACAAAAAGTTATATTCTCACATAACTCTCACATAAAATTGGCACTTAACTTTAAAAACAACAATTAAATGGTACCTGACAAATATATGTGATAAATAACGTAGCTCAGTAATGATTATAGATTGACCAAGAGACTGACCAAATGATTGTAAAAGAGATTGTAGCTGTGTGATAATTATTAACTGACCGAAAGAGAATGTATTATTCAAAGAATGTATTAGTCTGTATGTGCACATTTTGTTTGGTACAATTGAGGGGGTTCCTCATTTTTTTGCAATATTCATACATTTTGTAATATTGTATAACTTTATTTGAGTGGTGGTTATTTACCTGACTGCTAAGAAAGGATACCAGAGGACCGACGGCTTTAGGTCGTCTCAGAGAGACCTGGCAATGAGGATTAATGCCTTACCAAAGGGCACTAGCATTGCACTAGCGCATCGCCTTGGTTTCAAACCTCAAACTATGCCTGATAGAAACACTGCTAAAATGTTAAATTTTTGCCTGCTTTTGTCAATTTTAATGTGGAACAAACTAGGATCACCTATATCAACTTTTGACACAAGTACAAGGTGCATTAAATGTGATATCCAAATAATTAAAGGAGGACCAGGCACTTGATGTGTAGCAAACAAAGTTTTATAAAAACGGATGAAAGTAAATTGTTATGGAGAAACGACATGGCAATTTTCCCCTGTAGTATGTAAAACTCTCACAAGCTTATTTTCTAAAAAGAAAGTGTCTCAGAAAGTACAGTTTTCTTTAATATCATGACTTAGTATTGACTTCTTAAACAAATATTTAGCCAAAGATATACAAGTATTAGTCTACATGTAGGCCTAGCTTCCATGTAGAATGAGTTTTCTCTCGTTCTGAAGAAAATTTGATGAATTATATTCTGCTAGACACTGGTATTTCTCATCTTATTTGCATATAGCTTGAGTATAGTCTGACTCTGTCCTCAACAGGTGTATACTGGATTAAGAATATATTAACTCTACATAAATATAAAAAAAAATAAAAAAATATATTAACTCTTGGTCACAAATGCCATTACGAACTGCTACGAACGCCGTACGAACGATTTTCAGACAATGGAAATTTGGGAAGACAATGGGAAAACAGAGATTTTTACGAACTTGTTGTTCGTACGAAGCTTTGACCGTTGCATAAAACTGCACCCTCCACCTGTTTCTCTCATCCAGTGTTGAGATCAAAAAAGGATAATCAAGATATATATATATATTCTTATTCAAAATCTACTTGAAACCATGTTAATTTAGCATGGAAACATACAGTCCGTAACTTTGCCAATATATGTGACACGTGCCAACTGTATTCCAAAACAAAATGCATTTAATGTAAAGCTGTTTATTTGTGAATTTGTAAGTACTACATTTAAGCCAACATCAGATTCAATCATTAATGTTCAAGAAGTGACGGATGTCTTCTTTTGTGCGTTCTTAACTTCTTATGAACCTGTACTATATATGCAGTACTGAGCTGGAAAGCTATTCAAATTAAATCCCCAAATAAGATGAATACCTTCAAAGACCAAAGTGTAAAAGAAATAACTTGGAGAGTATTTATTAAAGTTAATAAGTAGTTCATTATTACTTCTTGGTTTTGTGAAGAAGGAACTTCACATTTTCATTTTGATCCAATTTAGAAAATGTTGAACCACTCTGAACTAAAATAGTGGCATTTTTTCATTATGTTAGAGACATAATGTGATAGATTTAGAGTTTCTTTCAATGTTATTATTAGCAAATCCTATTTAAAAATGGGTAGCTTCATATATTTAATCTATCTGGATATCCATACAAGTTTATCAAGAACCTATGATGTCTTTACAAATACAGATACAAATTCCTGTTTTTTTTTGCAGTTGGGAAATTGGATAAAGGAAAATAAAGGCATTTCTTTTTTTTTTTTTTACTGAACTTTGATTTGTGAGTAGAATGTATGCCATGTAAATGGAATTAAAATGTTAATTTGCGTGTATTTTGTAATCAACTTTTATAACTTAAGATGCCCCACCTCTGTTTGCTTTTTATGTACATATAAGTTTGTGTTCCTTTTTCAATATTTAATATTCATGCTGCTTATTAGATAGATAGTGTTATCATAGTTGTGTATATATTTTGCTTCCTTTTTGTGAATTTAGAAATTATTAGTAATTTAGCAATAAATAATCAGATTTATTTGCATTTTCTGAAATTGAGTTATAGATAGCATCTAGCTTTGAATTGGTTAAAATAATCAAATGAGGACATTCATATATATATAAGCATTGAAAATTCATACTTTTGCATGATGCCATATTGCAATGAAATTCTTCGATATATCATACTCTTAAAGAGATGGATAATAACAATTTGATATATTGCAATAGATTAACGAGGAGGCATGGACTATAAATGGTGAGAGGTTCATCTTATAATTGTTTAAAGATATACGTAGTAAGATTTTTTTGTGGGGGGGGGGGGGTAGTGATCCACCTATTGGCATAAACAACAGTCGACCATTTGATTCTATACCAACTCATATTCTATGATGAATTGTTAAACTAAATACTAGTATGAATATTTAAGTCTTGTTTTTCTTAGCTCATGATACCCCCGGCCGAATCTTAAAATGCAAGAATGATTGTGATGTTTTTGTAGCCTTCCAACTAATGTATTGGACTTTGGTGGGCAAGTATACCGTAATCAAACTTGTAACATTTGGAATGAAATATCACACTAAATCGACACTAGATAATGCACTAAAAAAAAAGTCATTGCATGTGCATAAAAGATTTTATAGAAGGTATTGGCATACTAAAATCCCAGTTCAAATAATTGTTAAAGCTGTTTGGGTTTTATTTTTACTTGTCTTGGTGACGCTGCATTAGTCCCCTGAAATGGCTATCAACATGCAGATCATCTGTGTTAGTTTAGAATCTATTTTTTTTCAATTTGGGGGAGAAATGTCAAGTCATATAGTCAGATGGATACACATATTGATAATTATTGATTATCTAATCAAAAGGAAATGTTACATTCATTTATAATTGATGCTGCCAACATTTTGTATAGTTTTTATTCTCAGGCGAACTTTTATACACTCCCACATTGCTAGCTTTTGTCTTCATGTATTTCTGTGAAACAACTCAACTTATTTAGTTACATTATAGTTACAGTTTTTTGTATTCCAGTTTTGATTGATTGCTGGTTTGGTTAACCTGAATCTGAAATGAGTTAGATAGTCTTGACTTATTTTGTTATGAATATCTTAAGAGTGATGATCCAACTGTTAAAGTGAAAATTATAATGGTACTGGATATTCTTCTCTGATGATATATATAATCAAATAAGGATGAATGATACATTTATAATTTATGTGTATCTCATTCCCTCCAATATGTAGCCATACTGGTACCAACAGAAAAATACTCTGTTGAGACAAGTTATTGTGCAAAATTTCGCTCATGGATATTTTTTTAGGCTACCTGATAATCTCATGTTATGTGTTTCAGAAGTAAACAAAATGAAAACAAACATTTTTTTGCAGCATAACTACAAAGTGCTTGTACATGTGCAGGAAAAAGAAGGAAGAGGGAAAGTGGAAAAAGTTACACAAAGTTAGTTTGCTTATATAGTTTGCTTAGATAAGCCCCCAGTTAACACATGTGATATCCATCTGTAGCTTTTGCCTTTATGAAAATGTAGTTGGGGAAAACATAATGAAATATCATTTAGGAAACATTGAAATGCTAAAAACTTTCTGTACTATATGATACTGCCTTATATTTCATATAAAATTTGGAAATTTGTTTCTGTCTCCATGCTTTTTCTATGATTGGGGTTTTTGGAAAACAATGTCGCCATGTAGTACTCATGCAATAAAGATTTATTTATCATCTTTACATGAACTTCACTGCCTACTGAGTGTGTGCTTTCTCTTACTGTTATGAGTTATAAGTATTGGAAATCTTCTGCTACTCTTAATCATTTACTGACATCAATGGAGGGTTATTTACCTAATGCTTTTAAAAGCTTTTTTGACGAAGGGGGGGGGGGGGGGTCCGAAGGTACATGGGGTTAACTTTACCGTCTAAAAAATTGTTCCTGACAAGAAACCCCCCCCCCCCCCCCCCTCAAAAAAAAAAAAAATATGTATGTATATCTAAGCCTCATCAAGAAGCAATCCAACTTCTTGCACTCCTCATCATCAGGTCGGTTACAATCATCGGCGGTCATGGCCCTCCAGTTATATCTGTTAAATTGCTATTCTTAAAAACCTGGTATTGCTAATACAATTTTTGGTTGCCCATTTGTTCAGGCTTTGCCAATAATTATGTGAGGCGTTATTACCTCCCCCTGCTAATATTTCCATCAAACTTCTATGTTAATATTGTTTTTTTGTGTAGAGTATCCTTTCTGTATATTGACCGACAAATTGCTTTTGCCTCTTTCTTACGTCAGTTTGTTGACGAGTGATGGTTTTTACTCTTACTTTTCTAAACACTTCTTCATTTTTTTTTCTTTTCTTGTCATGATATATTTACAATCTTTCCAAAGAACCTGGGACCAGTTTCTTGAAACCGTCAGTTCATGGGCGTTCCAGAGAGAAGTCTATAACACAGATTTTCAAAGGGATGTCCAAGGAAATGTTAGACTCATGACAAACTCGAGAAAGGGACCCCAGGTCCCTGGCGCCTCTGACCATATATAATTTCTTGCACTACCATGTGATGCTTTTCTTCTTCTTCTTCTTCTTCTTCTTCTTCTTCTTCTTCTTCTTCTTCTTCTCCTTCTTTTTCTTCTCCTCCTTCTCCTTCTCATCCTTCTTCTTCTTCTTCTTCATTCTCTTCTTCTTCTTCTTCTTCTTCTTCTTCTTCTTCTTCTCCTTCTTTTTCTTCTTCTTCTCCTCCTCCTTCTCCTCATCCTTCTTCTTCCTCTTCTCCTTCTCCTTCTCCTTCTTCTTCTTCTTCTTCTTCTTCTTCTTCTTCTTCTCCTCCTTCTCAGCCTCTTTCTCCTTCTTCTTCCTCTTCTCCTCCTCCTTCTTCTTCTTCTTCTTCTTTTTTTCTTCTTCTTCTTCTTCTTCTTCTCCTTCTTCTTGATCTCCTCCTGCTGCTTTTTAAGTTATTCAATATTTTGAGGTACAAATAATTCATTTTCAGAAAGATTAAAGCCCCACTGTCCTACTTGTAGCTACTTGCTCCCTCTATATAGAAAAATTCCCCAATCGGTGCCTGTTGGTCCCCCATGATCCTCTATTTCTTATGTTATTTGAGAGCTGAGTTGATGAGATAGCCACCTGTCAGTGACCTCGCAGTGTGGTCTAATCCTTCCTAGCCACACTAGTGTTGATTAGCTTTAAAAGAGTGAGAGGCAGTAAATAATGGATTCGGAGCATGTAAAATATAGGCAATTCCGTCAGGGGGGGGGGGGGGGTGCCGATTTCTTGCCCGAATAAAACCCTTCCATATATTCTCTGCCTTTTTTTTACCGGTTGCCCTACAGAATTAGTGATGATTTCAAAATTCGCGGTGTGGGAGGGGGGGGGGGGTGCAATCCAGTCATCCTGTCATCTAATGATTGAGAGACTAGAAAATATGATGCTTATATAGAGGAAAAGAGGATAGAGCGGAATGATCGAGAGAGCAGAGAGAGCTAAGAAAGATGTAGGAGGGAGAGAGAAAGAGAAATAGAGAAAATCCGAAAAAGTTAGATATAATATTCTTCTTATTATACTTTAATAAAGATTCTCTTAAAGACACATTGTTAAAATTTCTGTCTACTTTTCGTTTATCCCATTTCCACAATTTTCTTTCAAGTTTGTATAATTAAGCTTCTATAAACGCTAAACTAGGTCGTCCCAGAAAAAAAATTAGACGCATACCGGAAGTAGTGTTAGTTCACATCATTCATCATAGGTTTTCGCGGGAAACGTACGCAGGTTCTGCAAAATCCACACACACATTGTACACAAACACATGAATTCGCATGTGGGGCAATGGGATTGAATTGAATGGAGTCCAATTGAATTTTGGTACGCTTTTGTGAGATGTGAATGTCGTCATGTCTAAGCTGTCAAATGACTAGGAATTGCTGTATTTACTTCCACAGTGCTCTGAACATTATAGCTATCATAATTACTAGAAGCGAGGACACATTGTGATAAAAAGTTGGTGAGTTAGCTAAATCATGGTCACTCTTTTCAATGAATGACAGGGGGAGTCCCACGTGTGTAATTTCATGTTGGTAAAACCATGTTTGACTTTGAGATTTGAACATTCTTCAATTTGGAAGATGTGCCATTTAATTTCTAGTTGATTGAAGTAACAGTATCTGTACCATATTGTTACTAATGTAATATGAATTTTACATCTAAGTTAGAGTCTATGAAATTGTTATTGTCATTCACATTTGATTTGTAATTTTGTAGTTTTGTAATTTCAACTTTCAGTATTTTAAAGTTTTGAAATTTCGATCTAAAGTAGAGACTAGAGTACTAGACTACATAAAAGTAGAAAGAGCATGAAAAGAAAAGTGGGGTAACTTATATTATTTATACTTTTAATTTTTAAAGAAAGTCTCACAAAGGCAAAGCGAAGGATCATCAGTAGATCTATCAGTGCTGACGAAAAATGTACAGACATAAAATTACAGGTTTTTATCCTTGGTACTTGGTTGGGTAATCCCTTTGGCAGCTCACTCAGGAAGCTATACTGGGATGGTAGGTGAGGCGAGTAACTACAAGGATTGCCATGAATTGCTGGAATGGTGTGTGGACAAAGCACTTGTCAATTTACAGTAAAATATGTTAAGTCCAGTGCAAGTAAAAACCAAGCTAGTAAGATTATACGATGTGAGAACCAACAGGGGACTGCATCATACTGATGGAGGGTAGAGCAGCCTCCTTGAAGTTGGTTATTCCTTGAGCCTGGCAGATGGTTCCAGATCCTTATTGTTCTTGGGTAGGCCTAGGAGGAGAACTTGAAGGATTTGATTTGAATTTGAAGTAAACCAACTTCAGTTCTCTTAATTTAGATCCCTAACTTTAGAACTCTAGATCTAGATTAAATAACAGAATTCCATTTTGTCAGACTTTATAATTTATCATTTTAATAAAATTGAACAAGGCATTTATTAATAAAAATTAGAGAAAGAAAATTGTTAAAAACATGAAACTTTACTTTTCATTTTGACCTATTTTGTAGGATATGGCATCATCAACTCAAGTCAGTTCGGATCTTGCAAGCTGCTCTTATCAGCTCTCTCCAAACAACAAACCTTCTAAAAGCACATCCAACCAATCAGATGAGACCACAGACAGGCCCAAGCCCCAATCATCCCCCAAGAGGCCAATCAGGGATGCAGTTGCTGCTGCGAAACTCAACAGCGCTCTTCTCCCTGCCAAAGTGACAAGAATAGGTGCTTCACCGAAAAGGTTGAAAAAGGAAGGCTCGTGGAGAGGGGACGAGAGCGCAACCAAGAAACAGAGTCCAACTAAGAGTGATGCAAGTGAGGACCAGGACCAGAGTCCTAATACCAGTTCCAGTGGAGAGACTTTCAAGGACGCGGAATACTCAGAGGGTCTAGATGTGCTTGCCCGTTGGAGTGATGGTCTCTTTTATCTTGGAACTGTAAAAGAGGTAATGTACCATGGTCATCAGTACTTAGGTAGGAAAGGGTAGGAAAGGGGTAGAGGCATGTTAAACTTTTTGCTTCTTAACACTGTCATTTATTAATCTGTTTCTTACAACTGAAATCTGATAAGACCCATGCCTGCTGGTCATCTTAACAACAAAATCAATCAATTTGAAGTGTGATGTAATGATTAGGAGAACTTTAAATCAAAATTTAATGTTGATAAGTTTGTTTATATTGTGATGGAATATAGAATACTTATTAAACACAATCCATCGTGGGTATCTGTGCATGGAGGCTATTTCATACACATGAACAAGACCACTTGTCTATAAAGACACCATTTTTGTTTTCTATGAGCAGTTTCTCATTGAAAGGTGTATCACAGGATTCCGTACGAAGACAAAGACCACTTTCTTGGTCTTCCTTGGGTTGTCTTTATATACAAGTCTCATTGTACTTGGAAGACCTAATACATGTAGGTGATACTAGTATTTTCTTTCTTTTTTGTGTGTAAAATGATCATTTCTGGTCTTCTTTATTTCCTCATAATAATAAATACATCAGACATCTTCACATTTTCAGCCTTTGGCTCCATTTCTGGAGGGATATACATGGTTTTCTACATGAGATATTTTCTTCTAGCTGTAAATGGTAATTCAGTAGATTAAAAAGAACATGCATAAGTTTCTGTTTTGTTCTTTTCCTTTAAAATTCTTTTCCAACAAAGATTTGTAAATAGTGAACAGTGCATAATTCAAAATAATATTGACATCTATTTCCTTCTCTTAATTAAATTCAATACCAAACAAAAGAAGACATGGTTTTAAATTATACTTGTATGATCTAATGGTTCACTCACACATCGACTGTTTCTTCTCCCACCAAAGGTTGAACAGGAACACGAGCGCTGCATGGTGTCTTTTGAAGATGAATCTGAGTTCTGGGTGCTCTACAAAGATCTGCAGAAGGCCCACAATCAGAACGAAGACCAGGACATCACATGCTTTGTGTGCAATGATGGCATGTCGGATTTCCCCAACGAGATCGTCATCTGTGACAGATGTGGTCGAGGTAAGGCCCTACTTATTTAACGAAATTACTTACCCAATATGTTCCAAACAGAACCCTCAGATCTTCCCGAAAGTCTCTCCTCACCATTTCACAAATAAATACTAAATTTTACTGGTCTCGCTCTTTTCAGGTTGCATCGGCCGAAATTTGGAATAAACTACCAGAAAATCTAAACTGTGGTACTGTTGACAACTTTAAGGCGCGTCTTAACACAATTCTTTTCAAAAATACTTTCCAATGTTAACAAGAGGAAGTACGCTAAGCATATCTCACTCTTCTTACGTTACTCTATCCACCTTTCCTTCTTACTCTTTCTGACAGCGCAAATAGATATATTGTCATATGCGCTATATAAGTACGGTATATTATTTATATTTCTTATTTAGGAATGATAGTGACAAAATGTCAGATTGTTCTTCGGTTTATTGAAGTTACTCTGAGGTCCACTGCCATACAGTTTCCTGAACCATTTTAGAGTATTGAATGATGATTTCTGCCTTTTAAATTTGTAATCTCATATTGATGGGGTGATTACTTGATTAGTCTCCTTCATTTTTCGCTGTAATAAAAAAAAATATATGATGTGGAGAAGTGTGAGAGAGATTTTCTCATGCCTTTTTTCATATTTTTTCTCTTTTTCTATTTGTCTATAGGCTACCATCAACAGTGTCATAGTCCATCTATAGAGGGCTCTATTCTGCAGAATGAAGACGAGCCTTGGCACTGCAGACCGTGTGTTTTTGTCAACTCAGTTAAGGTGACTTTGAGTGTTTTAATAATTTTGGCCCATTACACAATACACCAGTTTACGGTTATGGGCGCCATTTTAATTTACAAGTAAACAAATCAAATGACCTCTAGAGGTCAGTGGTTTATGCGTAAATTAAGATTGCGCCCATGCAAGTTATGATGACATCACTGCCTGCGCGCTGCGTTGTGCGTGCACATCATCATTTGCATGGGCGCAATCTTAATTTACGCATAAACCACTGACCTCTAGAGGTCATTTGGTTTGTTTACTCATAAATTAAAATGGCGCCCATGTCTGCGCATGCTCACTGTTGTAACCGTAAACTAGTGTATTGTTATTCTGGACAATTATGTTGATAACGATAGTGATACTCATTTTGTGCACCCCGTTTCACATACAAATGTATGCATTTAAGTCTCTCTCGAGCACTTTTGTTGAAAGAGTCATCTTAATTTACATCTGTTGCTATTTTCTGCACTCAATGAATGGAAAGGATTAAACCCTACAAGGGTCCTGTTGCATAAAACGTACCATTGATGGCAATTTTGCAGTTAATGGTAAATTCTGTGGAAACCTTGATTTAAAGATGAAGTTGAGTTCTGGTCATGCGATTGCATTGTGAAAGAAACGGAGTTGAATCGACCAGAAAAGGTTGATCATCTAGCATATAAGAATTTGTGTGTATTGCAAGGTTCTGGAATCATCAAAATGATAAGAAATTTGGCCAAGTCATGGTAAAGTTACAAACACTGTACACAGAAAGACGTATATGGGACTACACGAACACGTGGCGTAAAAAACCTACCCCCGAGTTTTACGAGTTACATGACATATTTAGAATATAAAGGCATTTGAAGAGCCATGCTTTTCAGGGAACATGTCTCATCTGATGTTCTTCCACACTTGCATAATAAGAATGATAACGCTCACAAATTATTTTTCACCTCTTCCCAGAACTCAACCTTCTCTTTAATGTTGCCATGGTAGTTAGTATTGATGGCAAGGTTACCATCAGTGGTTATTTTGTGCAATGGGGCCCTGGTACCTGTTTACCCTACCCAGTTTACTGAAAGACAGCCGATAAAATATCTTGTCAAAACTTTAAGTTGTATTCAAATAAATGTAATGACAAGCACATTTTGCAGATCCAGTTGGTTCAATTGTGTTTCAGTCTTACTTTTAATTGAGTAAAGCATATGTCTTGTATTACATACTTGTCATAAATTTATTTCATAAGGCCTAAAAATGTATTCATGTTTTTGTTGATCTTTTTATTGCTTAGGTTGGAGGTGCTTTGAAGAAAGGACCAGCAGGTAAGAAATCTGTGGAGTTTCACAAAGTCTTTTTTCAATGACAAAATGATAAAAACCAGTGACAAATCTGCTGATAACCAATCAGAAGCAAGGATTTCAGTAGCTCATAACAAAAACTGTCATTTGTCACTGATGACAAGTTTTGTGAAATGCCCCCCCCCCCCCTCCCGGAGTTTCCTTCTATCCATACCTCTCACTCATTAGAACACATCTACAGATTATATGCACCATAATGATTCATCTACTGGAAGAAGGAGGAGCCATAAAGTTCAGAAGTTGCGATTTTTTAATGGTTTCAGTCAGACTCGCAAAATACCTAGCAAATATGACACACTGCTGACTATAGAAAAAAAACGGGGGGGGGGGGGGAAATTTTTTAAATAAATAAATGTAAGAGTAAAGAAATGAAAGAGGGTAAAAATAGGATTTGGGGTTATTTTTTCCTCAAATCTGCATCATATAGAACAAAATTAGTTATAAGATAGTTGTAATCATGAAGAACCTTAGACCTGTAAGCTCCTTTTCATTTCTGATATTCTTGTAAAGCATGTTTTTATCTAGCCAATCAATTTTAGTGGCACAATGTGTAACTCATTCTTCTTTTCTTGTGCTGCCCTCACAGCCAAAGTGTTCCAAGAATTCAAGAAAACGCTTCCATACAAAGTAAGTATTTTTCGTTGAAATTACCATCACAGCCCTCCATTTAATGCTATTTGAAACTTGAATTACTAACTTAAAATGTCATTACTATTAACTTTCATCCTAGAAATTGAAAAAGATATGATGTCTTTAGTAAAATTTCTAATACCATATTTAGTAGCTTGTATGCTATACTATGTCAAATTTTTGATTTAATGATATTTTAAACTTGAATTACTTATCTAAAATGTCTTTCTATTTTTCTTAAGCGCTTAGAGACATATTTTGTGATAAGCGCTATACAAATGTTGTTAATTATTATTATTATTAATACTATAAACTTTCATCCTAGAAATTGAAAAAGCTATGATGTCTTTAGTACAATTTCTAATACCATATTTAGTAGCTTGTATGTAATACTATGTCAGATTTGTGATTTGTTTTTGTTACTTTATTTTGAATTTTAATTTCTTTACCCTTGTCCTCAAATTTCAGAGCTCATTAAAGCATGTCTGCACTAGTTTGGCCCAGGGGGATTAGACCTCCCTGCATGGTCACCGACAGGTGGTTATCTCATCAAATCACCTCTCAATTAACATTAAGAAAGGGGGATCATGGGGGACCTACGGGTACCGATTAGGCATTGTTTGCTATATAGAGGGTGCAAGTAGTGCAGACAGGCTTTAGTTAAAGCTCATATTTTCCATTACATTTATCTATTTTTCTTGACAGATTGAGACCATTCATTGGGATGCTGGTCACAAGACTAACACAGAGCAGTATTATTGTTACTGTGGTGGGCCAGGAGAGTAAGTGTTACTTCTGATTTGGTTTAGATATTTCAAAGATTCTGAAAATTTTCAGACTTACTTGGTTTTCTTTTATTTGATTCATGAATCATAAAGTGTAAAAAACTGTCGTTCAAGAAATCATCAACCACTATGGTAAATGTAATGAAAATTTGAGAGAAAACTTTATCAATTTTTGGGGGACATTTGGTAAATAGTTTGAAAGTCATGAAGTTGTAACAGTTACCGGTAAATGGTGTAAATGGTGTAAATATTGATGTGTAAATTGTTTTTAAAGTGGAAATAAATTGAATCGAATTGAATTGAATTGAATATAGGTTAAATCAGAACTAAATTTATAATTTTTTTTCTTTTAATGATTTTATTTTTGTTATTTTTTTTTCCAGCTGGTATCTTAAGATGCTGCAATGCTGCCGTTGCAGACAATGGTTCCATGAAGGTAAATAAAATTCACTCAAAATAATAATCACATACATGGGGAGTATCATTATTAAGGTTCTTTGACACATGCAAAAGCTATTAAACTGCCAGTTACGATTCAGACACCTAGCGTGCTGAAGTTAGCTGCCCGTTTTGCGATCACTAAAAGATGCCATTTTGGCGATTACCCAGTCACGTTTGTCAGAGAAGTGGTGTGTTAGGTGAAACTGTCCGGTAAATACCTTATGGATGTATCAAAGAATTGATTTCACATGCTTTAAAACACCATCCTCATGAATTTGTTTAACATATAATTTTGGATGAAAGCAAAGACAAGAATGGATTATTTCAGGCTCAGCTCCCTCATGTCTATTTCTTGTTAGATTATTTCACAGTCATTACATTAATTTGTTGCCAGGACTCCTCACTAACATTTTCACATATTTTTTCTCAGGTGATCCAGACCATCCGGGTTTAAATTGTAAGGTCTCTGAGCAAGGGGAGCATGTTAATATTTTGAGTGTGATGTGGGGGGGGGGGGGGGGGTGGTCCATACAGAACACCCATGTATGCCAGGCATCCATTAGTGTCATTTCCTGGTTTCTGTCTAGCAAATACTTTTTAAAAGGAAAAGGAGGAATCATTATGTTGTTGATTGGAAAGCTCTTAGAATCAGATTTGGGGTTATGGAGAAGCAAACCTAATTTGATTGATTTATTTGCCTTTTTTTTCTTGAATAGTAGTGGAAAGAAGTAGTGCATAATATTAATACAAATTTTAATTTGTTATGCATTCAAGTGAGAAAAAAATAAAAAGGTAGACTTGAATTAATTGTTATTTTGAAGTGAATATCTGTTTTATAATAGAAAGACACTTCATCTTTTTTTGATTCACTTTCATTGAATCACTTCTGATGCTAGAAGCTAATGCAATCTTTTCTTCTTTGTTCCAATCAGCCTGTGTCCAATGTATAGAGATTCCAATGCTGTATGGCGATAGGTAAGATGAAATCCCTAGAACTTTTACTTTTCATTTTATAGTATAAAACCAGTTCCATTAGTTTGTTATAAAGGAAAGGTGTTCAAAGAAATATCATAATGCTTTTCTCTGCTTTCTTTACTGTAGAATTTGTCTGTCTGTTTAAAAAACAACTTTTTGTACTGCTGTGGGTCATTTATATTGCTTTTATGATTTCATTTTGCATTCAAGTCCAAATCATACCATTTGATAATTGTTAGTTATTACTAAATATATTGTGTACTTTTAAATGACTTACCATCAGTTATTGAGTGAACTTTTATTATTTTCAATTTATCCTTTTCAAATATTTTAAAGAAAATTGGAGCAAGAATCTTGCTCTACTATTATTCAAAAGTAAATCATGTGATGAAAGATAGTTCACCAATCATTGATGGGAGAAGAAAAGTTTGTTGCACTGTGTAGATAGTAGTACTATCTACACAGTGCAACGCAATTTCACTGAAGATAGAAGTACTATCTACATAGTGCAACGCACTTTAATTGTATACGCTGCGTATTGCTCTCCTCTTTAAGCGCTTTTAGTGTTAGAACGCAAACTTTGGTCACGCGCGAACTATATGGTCACACCACCATACTGCATGCACTGTACGTATCATACACCGTTTGCTAGCTGTTAATTGATGACTTGTTGCTCTAAAATGACGGAAGAAGTGAAATGTTTCTGATGTGGAATATAAAGCGAATAATCACCTATTGGTTTCAGACGATGGCAAACTATCACTTCCTCAGCGATCTGAATGTATACGCTATCTTTTCTCAGCTTCGCTTCAGAAATATAGCTACATCCAGATCGCCTCGGAAGTGATAGTTTGTCCCATCACCTTCACCAACGGTAGTTATTTGCTTTATGCATTTGTACATTTGCATATAAACAATCTAATAACAATTATAAGAATCATTAAAATGCGACATCTGTTTAACGATTTTGATTTATTTTCTTCTTTTTTAGGTTCTATATATTTGTATGTTCTGTGTGCAATCAAGGTCCAGAGTACCTCAAAAGACTTCCTCTAAAGTGGTAAGATTTCACACTTTAATTTGTTTTAATTTTATGCTGGAGTTTTCTAATGGATGTGATTCACTGATGATGTTGTTTGATAATAATGATTTTTAAAAAATGAAAAATTACAATGTTCAATTTTTATATAGCGCATACCGGTATTACATAATTTTCTCTAAGCGCTTAGATACACAAGAGAGAGAGAGAAGAGGAAAGACATGAAAATATTGAGCTTTCACCATTCATCACTTACAATTATGAAATCAATTGCAAAATTCAAATGTTTACTTTAGGATTTATGACTGGCATGATCAAAAAAGTTTTGTTTTTAAGTCGGATTTAAAATGATAAAGTGAACAATTAACATTATTCAATTTACAAGCCTCTACCTTACGAAAGCAAGTTACAATTGGGTCTCTCCTCCTGTTATAACTGATGAGGAAGTGTAAAGTGTATCGTTACATTTAGGGGTTTCCCCCTACTCCTTTATGAAGATTTTGGTGGTTAGTTGGGAAAGGGAGACTCCACCCACATATTTGTCTACATGGAAATGATTTCTTTTCAGCACAAACCATATTCAATTTGTGTTTTCGTCGAGAATTACTGATTTTTTTGTTTTGTTTGTTTTGTTCAGGGGGGACCTTGCCCAACTGGTGCTATACAATCTCACTCTGCTACACAAGAAGAAATACTATGATTTTGAAGAGGAGATTTTACCCAATCTGACGCAGAATTGGAACAACTACCAAGTACCTCATGTAAGTACAATTTCATATTTTTCCCAAGAAAATGAGCATCAGGGCTAGTGTTCAATTCAAAACTTATGTTAGAAATAAGAGTATTTGACTTGTTTTTCAGGTTAGATGAAATACTTAGCCAACTTTGGTAATCAGTTGAAGCTATTGCTTAAAGATAAACTTGAGTTCTGGTAAAAAAATAAAATGAATTCTCACAGAATTTAACGAAACTTACACTGAATGTTCAAGATTACAAATAAATGTCATGTGCCAAACAATTTTGGAAGAAAATGTATACTGGCTGAGTAATGAGCATAGAAAGATAAGGAAATCAGGGTAGTACTAGCCCCGACACCATGTGTGTTGTCCCATATACATCTATCTGTGTAAGTGATTGTTACTTTACCAAGACTGCCAAATTTATGATGATTTTGATGACTCTAGAACCTTGCATTACACACCATTACTTACATGCTATATGATCAACTTTTCTGATCCATTCCACACCTTTTCTTTCATAATGCAATCGCATTACCAGTACTCAAGTTTATCTTTAAGTTTAAGACAGCTTCCTAGCGTTTCTAGCTAATCCCTATTATATAGTTGGCTTTAAATATACTTAAGTAAAATACCTTGATGAGATTTGAAAAACAGGAACTGATTAATTCAAGTATTGAATTACATACAGGCCCATAGCTGAAATGTTATAACTTCTAGTTTGTTTCTCTGAAAGAATCACATGACCTCAAAGGTACAGATATTGTATGTTAAGAGCCACAGGAGTATTTGATCTCATTCAAAAGGTTATAGTTTTGTCTTGGCTCTCGGCAGACAATATATTTCTTGGCTTTTCATGAGCACAAAGAGCAAGAATTCCAGCATAGTTGGAATTTTGTTGATACTTTTTTAAATCGACTTTTTCAAGCTGATAATTTTGTTACTGCATTTATTTGATACTAACTGATACAATTTATTTTCTATCCGCATTTCTATTACAGTAATATGAAGTGGATGGTGAAGATCAATATTTTTACTTTTAAGAGACATCTTATTCCTTCAGCCTTCAAAAACCTTTGTGTCTTCCTCCCTTAATTTCAGCTATCTGAAACAACTCGGTCGGAGAAACAAGAAAGAATGCTAAATGCACTTCAAAGCTCTAAGATGAGGTAAGTGATTAATAGTTTCTGTCCATGTCTCAGCATTATTTGCATGAGAATTTTGTATCCTTCCATGTAATTGAATGGCCCAGGGTACCAATGGTCATGGAAAACCTGGAACGTCACAGAACAAAGAATGCTTCTGGAAAGTCATGGGAAAAAATGGCCTAAAGTCGTGGGAAAAAATGGCCAAAAGTCGTGGAAAGTCATGAAAATTGGAAAAAGGAGGGAGAGCATCACAAACATGAATGATATATATCCCTGTATGGTATTTGTACACCCCTTGGATACTGCAACCCTTATCTAGTCATGGAAAAAGGGCAAAATGGGTCGTGGAAACTCAACCCTGATGGCCTTAATGTGGAATACCCTGATCACCTATTAGTAAAACGTGTTTAGGTTAGGATTAGGGTCAGGGTCAGGGTCAGGGTCAGGGTCAGGTCAGGTTCAGTGTTTGAGATACTTGTGTGAAGGGGGCATTCCGCAATTGATCTGTAAAATATGACACATTTTATACAATCTAATCATAACATGTGCATCAACACAAATGCTTTAAAATTTCAAGTTCATTTTTTGTTGAGATATTGGATGTCACTTTCCTAATGTACTTCTGAAAAATGTAATTGACTTGTTTTGAAATTGGGTGATGAACCCATTTCATCATCACTCATTCAGATTCTGTGGAAAGAATGATAGGACTCTGTCCCGAAAAGCAGCAGAGTATACTGTGTATGTCGTGTTGGATATTCTTGTTCATCAAACAATATCTTCTGAATTCATTTTTGCAGTTATTAAGTTTGTATTTACTGAATTAATCATAATCTTTTTATGTTGCAGTCATTCAAGTTTGTACAAGCATTCATTTGATTTATTTGTGTTTATTAACTTGTGATAATAATCCAAGTTTTAGAATTTAATTTTTACCCAGGTCTAGCCTTCTTTTACGTTCTTTTGTGGCCAGAAGGTGTTTTGACTGTTGTTTTTGTTCTTTGAGGTTTGTATCTTCTGTTTAGAGCCAGAAGGATATTAAAGTTTATTGCCCCTCTGGCTCCAAAAGAACGGTACAGGGCAACTAATATTTGAATTTGGTTCTTTTGCTTTGGACTGTTGTAAGAAAGAGAATTTAATCTGTGTTGGAATTATGGTAATTCAGGTTTGGTTTCAACAGTGCAGTGAAATGACCTTTGCTTGACCTCATCTGTTTTTATATGTTAATGACAAAGCAGCTTAACTTTGTCCTCCTTCAGGGATAGTTTCAGCATTGGAGTACAGTGACCTTTGTTTGACCTCATCTGTTTTTATCTGTTTATGACAAAGCAACTTTACTTTGTCCTCCAGATTTGGTTTCAGCATTGAAGTACAGTGACCTTTGTTTGACCTTTGATTGACCTCATCTGTTTTTATCTGTTTATGACAAAGCAGCTCCATTTTGACCTCCTTCAGGTTTGGTTTCAGCATTGAAGTAAAGTGACCTTTGTTTGACCTTTGTTTGACCTTTAATTGACCTCATCTGTTTTTATGTGTAAATGATAAAGCAACTGTACTTTGTTCTCCTTCAGGTTCGGTTTCAGCATTGAAGTAAAGTGACCTTTGTTTGACCTTTGATTGACCTCATCTGTTTTTATCTGTTTATGACAAAGCAGCTCTACCTTGTCCTCCTTCAGGTTTGTTTGCGGCAAGGAAGTGAAGAAGAAAAAGAACCTGTGGGGGTTACGAGTCCGCACCCCTCCGGTCTCGCCCACCATCGTCTTGCCTGCCATTGGTCAGATCACCGATGATGTCATGAATGACATGAAGATGACGGGGACAAAGGTCGTGACCTTCCAGCCTGTACAGAGGTATGTAACCCCACCCTTCATGTGTAGTTCTAGGAACCATACATCAATCATTGATTGGCTTGCATTTCCTTCCTACATGAGGGATGTAGTCTCAAATCTTGATTCTGAGGGCAAGTCTAATGTATTTTGAAATCAAAATTGACATAAAAGTATTTAGTATACATTCACAAATTTGTTTTTTCATTGGTTATAAATGTAAATATAAATTTACAGAAAGAAATTATCATATAAGTACAGATATGATTGACATTTATAATACAAAATACAAAATGGAATCAGAATATAAAGTGGGTGAGAAAGATGATAATTGTATTTTTTACGATGAGGATGCAGGCAGAGCAAGAGAGTGGAAGAGGACAAAAGGTAGGCAGAAGAAGTTGGTAGAGTAGAGAAGAAAAAATAAGAACAGAGAATAAGCCAAGAATAATACATGGTGCATACAATTTTTGTTGAGCTGCTGTACTGACATAATGAGGATAATTCAATATTTCATGTTCAATCAGGCAAAGTTAACGTCGGATCGCAGATGATAATCAGAAAGAGGAGTACATATTGTAAACAAACATTACAAGCATTCTCAAAGGTTCTAGATGAGAGGAAAGGAAGCATCAAGGATTCATGGATGCAAATAATCAAATAAATTTTTTCCAAGGCGTCACATCAATTAGAAGTGTATAACATTGACATTACATCTTGTTTTGATCCTCCCCCTCCTCTCTCTTTATCTCCCTCTTTCTCTCTCTCTTTCTTTCCTTTTCTCTCCCTCCCTCCCTCCCCTCTCTTTCTCTCTTTCTCTCCCTCTTTCTCTCTCTCCCTCTCTCTCTCTCTCTCTCTCTTGCTCTCTCTCTCTCTCTTGCTCTCTCTCTCTCTCTCTCTCTTGCTCTCTCTCTCTCTCTCTCTCTCTTGCTCTCTCTCTCTCTCTCTCTCTCTCTCTCTTGCTCGCTCTCTCTCTTGCTCTCTCTCTCTCTCTCTCCCTCTCTCTCTCTCCTCCCCCTTTCTCTCTCTCTCTCTTCTTTAGTTTGTCTCCTGTTCCTCTGGAGAGGAGAAGAAGGAAGCAGAAAGGTCTCACTCCTGAAGAGATCATGGCCAACTCCAAGAAAGCTCGTAAACTCCTGCTCCAGGCGACCAGCAGTGTGAGTGAAAACTTATTTGAAATAGTCAGATTAGATCATTTTTATTTGATTTTTCACCAATATCATGCGTTATTCTAGACTTCCATTCAATTTTAACATGATTTTATTTTATTCCTTAACATAATACCACTCTAGTGGATTTTGTTTGATATAGATGAATTTTTATCATTACTGTATAAGCCAATATTTTTGCATAAAGATATTATCATTGATGACAGGGAATAGACATTTTTGCAAGAATTATCACTGTGTACTTGCAATATATGTTGCATTTGCTTTGTCAACTAATTTTTTATAACAGCTTATACAGTGGATGAAGAGTTCTCATGTGTTTCTGATGAGCTTTTAACAGCTTTTCTATAGGTTCCTGCACATTTCACAGTTTATACTTTTCTTGTCTGGGTTTCCTTTAAATGATATTAGTAGACAAACAAAAGTGATGATATGTAACTTTGTAGTCTGATTAATTTGTCAATTACTATATTCATTTTTATTATGAATTATGAAACAATATGTCTTTTATGTATATTTTGTTATCTGTAATATATCTGCATGTGAAATGTGAAACCAGTAAACTCAACTCAAACTCAACTCAACTCAAACTCAACATTGTACAACTTCCTTTCTGCTGTACAGAAAACGGGCAGACCTCTTACAAGCCTGAACCAATCCTACAGAGGCTATGGAGGTGGCATGTGTACATCCAGTACTGGACTCACAGTAGTGACAGGTGGCTGTTCCGTCCTTGACATGATACCCCCTCTGGAAATGGTTCCCCTCGGCAACAACGTTGTACCGTGTTCAATGACTCTCTCCTCGCGCACCAGCATCAGTAGCAACGGAAGCTCACAAAACGGCGCTGGACCTAGCAATGGCCCCATGAACCAATATGGCCGCCTCCTCTCGGAACAATCGATGGGCAAGAAGCGCAGGGGTAGGAAACGGAAACGCAGGCTCAGCTCTGAGGACCTTGACAATGAAACCAGTAATGGTAGCCAAACACCTGAAGAAGTCAAAGACACAACAGACTTGGAAATCAAGTTGAAAAATCAGCAGAGTCCGAGCAAGACAAGAGTGAATGGCATCACGGAAGCGGCGTCCCCGATCGGGATCCTGCAGTCGGTAACGTCCTACTTCGGTGCGGAAGGACGCATCGCATGCGGAGAAGGCCACAAGGTGCTTGGGAAGCGTGTCTGCGCGGACGGCAAGGTGCAGTATTTGATTCAGTGGGAAGGGAGCTCACCTTAAACTATGGACCTACTCCCATCAGAAAGAGAGAGAGGGCTGCATCTTGAAGAAATCCGCTCTTCGATTCCGCCGATGATGGAAGGCAGAACTGCGAATGAGTCGAGGCATATATCTCATTATCTGTTTCACCTCTTTTCGTACAACAATAACATTCTTGTACTGTCTGTGGAAATACTGCAGTTGAAAAAAGAGCAGGGGGTGTTTCACAAAACTTGTCATCGGTGACATTAGACAGTTTTTGTTATAAGCTACTAAAATCCTTGCTTCTGATCGGTTATCAGTAGATTTGTCACTGATTTTTGTCATTTGTCATTGAAAAAATACTTTGTGAAACGATCCCAGGTCCCTGTGATGGAAGTGCGTGTTGAACTCTTGAAAATGGCCTTACTATTAGGCATCAAAGAGGGAGAACGCGTCGTTCTAAATAAAATGCAGGTGGTTGCTGAATGGGTTATTGATGGGTACACAGGGCTTCCATGTAAGTTGTATAAAAAGATCTGCTAGATAGTGCTGTAAGGGATCGATAGAGGAATTCCAAGGTCATCTGCTGATGTTGCATTACTCACTAGCTGCTTGATATTGCAATGCTGATAAAAAGATGGTGTTGGGATTTAGATGTAGCGCTTGTGGCTAAAGACAATGGAAAGATTATTTTCAACAACTTGTTGAAATTTTCAACGCTTTGAGTTGGTTCCCACATTGCATAACATAAGATACAGTGTCCTTATAAATAATCTGTACTTTAATAACCAAGATGATCTCCGTAGTCACCGACTGCCGACTTTAACCCATAGTCTACTTGAACCTGATGATCCATGTATCAAGCCTTGGGGAATTACTTTGTCCAGTAGTCAATGGTTATGCAATTTTGAAAAGATATCGATACCGCTGCTTCATAAGACCAGAGTGCTTTAATAGTGAGGTGGGGAAAATGTTTGTATGAATATCCAAGCTGATTTTTCTTTTAACACCTAACGTCAGGCATATATTACCACATAGACTAAAAACAAACCCTCTGAAAAGTATTACTCCATCTTGGACGTTGATGTATTGTCTGTAACCCGTTGCATGTCGGCTTTTCTGTTTTCTGACCTTAACCACTCAGACATTTCCAGATTCTTGTAGGGTTGTCGTCCATCCATAAATGTGCCAAAATACCTCTGAAGAAACATCTCTGTACCCTAAACTGTTTAAGTTTTTTTAATAAATATTTTACCATGATTTATTATAGAAGAATGGAACATTAGAAGCAGGTCATAGGTCGTGGGCAGTATTTTCTATATTTGTGTATATTTTTGGATACCATTATTACATTACATGCTTAATCATTTCTTTTTGTTCAATTTGTAGGATGATGTATCCACATGAAATGGTAATAAAACTAGATTTCAGGGTCATTAGGTCAAAGGTCGAGGTAGGTTACTGTCTAAAATCATTTGGTTATTGCTTTTTCACTTTACAAATTGTTTTTAAGTTGGCAAAATGAGGTTTTCTTGTGATATTTCATAATGCAACTCTTTCACTGAGGGCCAAAATAATAATACAATCATAAAGTTAAGGAAAAGACATATTATATCAATTCCACTCCTACAAGGCTTTTCTAAACACAAGTGCTGTGATTATGTTTACAACTTTACATGTTATTGTCAATTGTGATATGCAAGTAAATCACACCTTTGTTAATTTCATTTTCTTCTTTTTTTAAAGTGATGGCCTCTGTATCTTGTATTTACAGTTTCCTTCGACTTGTTCTTGATCATATTTGTTTTTTTACTTCTACATTTGCTTCAAACCTAAATTTGTCAGATATAGAGCATTGGGGCTTGGGCTGCAATAGGGTTTTACGTGAGGTTCAGCGATAGGGTCCTGTTTCATAAGACTTGTTATCAATAACAAGTAAACAATAACTGTTATAAGCTACTGAAATCATGGCATTTGATTGGCTGAGAGCAAATTTTGTCATTGAAATTTAGCGTTTGTTATTGATAACAAGTTCTATGAAACAGGGCCCAGGTGGTAGTGTTGGGTCATCGAATCATTGTCCCAGCCATGCTGTTGTAAATTGTATTGTGCTTATATGGAAGGGAGCTCAACATATTTCCTTCCTATGTTCAAAGGAAACATCTTTGAAAAATTGGTGTCTGCTTTTGACAAATGGCATGGACAGCGATGCATATTAAACGGAAAGTTTCAAGTGAAGTTTCAATAGAAAAGTGTTCTCGTGCATTATATTGATGAATCCCAAAAATAATATTGAATTTAAATATTCCAAGCTACAGTATTAAAGTAGGATTGTTTTAAAGATTGTCTTGTCGCAAAATTTGGTATCTGATTTTTTTTAATTTAAAATTTGAATTGCAATTTGTTTCAATTATTGAATCCCTGCAGTATTACTTGTGGAAAATTGATGAAAATAAATCTTCAAATCTTCAAACTTAAAGCAATTAGTTATAATCGTTGGTCTCTTAGCGTAAATGTTTTTGATGTTATTGTTAAAGATAAAGGTGAGTTCTGGTAATGCGATTGCATTGTAAAAGAAAAGGTGTGGAATGGATCAGAAAAAGTTGATCATATAGCATGTAAGTATTGGTGTGTACTGCAAGGTTCTGGAGTCATCAAAATCATCATAAATTTGGCCCAGTCTTGGAAAAGTAACAATCACTGTACATATAAAGATGTATATGGGACAACACAAATGGTGTCAGGGCTAGTACTACCTTGATTTCCTTATCTTTCTATGCTCATTACTCAGCCAGTATTCCAAAATTGTTTGGCACATGACATTTATTTGTAATCTTGAACATTCAGTGTAAGTTTTGTTAGATTCTGTGAGAATTCATTTTCTTTTTTTACCAGAACTCAAGTTTATCTTTAAGTCCAAACAACTCTAAGCACTTTTCCCTTAAGGGCTTATCTCAGCAACTTTGCAAAACAGGATTAATTATTGGTGCTGCATAGATACATGATACATCTTATATTGTATTGACATATAACATTAACGTTGCATGAATGATCTCATAAATCAAATTGACCATGACTGTTCTTTTTATGTTACCAGGTATTGGTTAATTATGCTAATTAATTGACATCAAATGTGTCATTTCACTTCACAGGATGAACCTCGTGTCCAAGCTGTTGGATGTTGTCAGAAACTTGTCAGACAAAATAGCTCGGACTTTCCCAGTACATGTTTTTTTTTAATTTTTTTTATTAAGTTCATTTATTACCGTACATCATGTTGTCCTTGTTTTTGTACTCGTTCTTATATTGTATTTTGATTTGATGAACAATCATGCGGCTTGTTCATCAATTGCAAAGATTACGTAAAGTTGAGTTTTAAGATGTAACTATTTTCAACTATTTTTCCTTTAAAGTTACTCAAGCGTAGGTATAAAGAGTGCAGCACACGAACGTACGCACAGGAGCGTAATACCCATTGGCTCAGTGTTATGTAGTGATCGGGAGTGATCGCCAAGTTGCCTACTTCCAGAATGACTATATACCCAAGCATGAACATCTTTAACAGTAACTCTTTCCTTCCTTGGCACTGCCGTCGTATGTGTTAGAAGATTCATGTTTTTATTATTATTTCTAGTCTGAGCTCCAAGTACTTTGAAGTATGCCACTGTGTTTATATACCAGATTAAATCATGTGTTTTACATTGTTTACTTTTTCAGAATGTTTCAACCATGAACAAATGTAAATGTTATAAAAAGTTCTGTACCACAAATAAAAAAAAGCACACTAAAACAACTTTGTTTTAATCTGTTGTTTTTGTTTAAATAGACATATCCTGTCATGAAGTATCAATCTTTGCTGGTGATGTTTTTCTACACTAGACTACTATAACATACAACAGCACACAAAGTTTATTCAGATAAAATCATATAATTTATTAAACATGATTCTCTGCCAGTACAAAGATTTCTCCATACCAGTTATATCTCCAAACAGCCTTCACAACTTTTTAATTATAGCTAGTATAAACTCTAAATCACACATTAAATCATTAATTTTCTAAGATCCACTTCAAAGAGCTTTCTCTGCCCAGTTTTCAGTGCATAGTTCAGGTTTGTAGGTGGCAGTTTCTTTTGCAGAAGTGGAGCAAAGTAGATTAAGGTTGGAGTAGAATGGGGGGGGGGGGGGTGAATTCCCATACATTGTTCTTGGACATATCTAGCAGATATTGGATATTCTTTCTCTCAGCTCTCTCTTAATATATATTTCACCACCCTCCCCTTCTCTCTACCCCTCCTTTTTCTCCCTTTTTTTACCTCTCATGATTTCTGTCATATAGTCTCTTTTTGCCTTTTGATATCTTCTAATGTCTCTGACATTACTATCTACATTCCAAGGAATTTGATTCCTAAGATATGTCCATCAACATCCCGTGTTGAAGTTGCCGGCCAGACAAGTTCATGGCTACACAGTAGAGGCCTGTTTCACAAGGCCTTTTTTCAATGACAAATGACAAATATCAGTGACAAATCTGCTGATAACCAATCAGAAGCAAGGATTTCAGTAGCTTATAACGAAAAATGTCATGTGTCACTTATGACAAGTTTTGTGAAACGCTCCCCAGTCCTCCAACTATCCAACATCTAGTCCATTGTATCTCCATATTTGGTCTTCATAGAAACAGAACCATCAACCTCGTCTTGACCTCCACGACTTGCTATTGCACTTGAGGTATTGCCCTGAGCTGGCGGCGTGGTGGGTTGCTCTGTGACTGTTCTGTGTGGTGTAACGACATCATCGTTGTAGCCCGCTGCTTGAGCCATTCTTACCCAGTTCTTCTGGCAGTCTCTGGATGCGATAGATGCTGCCAGGTAGCCAAATACAATAGCTCCACCTTAAAGATTTTTATTTTTTTTAATCATAATGACATTTGTACAATATTATACAACAATGATACTGGAATTAGCATTATACAATGTAGAGCAATCTTGGGTTTTGGTGATGAGGGGAAAATAAATTTCAATCATTTAAACCAAACTTACATGAATGTTCAATACTGCCAAAAGGTACTACAAAAAATATAATATCCCAGTAATGTCACTAATTTGTTAAACTAGCAAGCCATCTTGATTCCTGATCGCTTGATGAGTATTGCTAGAACATGTGGTTTCAGTGAATGTTATATCCAGCAAGTTTTGATGTTGGTCAATGTTATTGCTGATCAAAACCACTTTCATAGTTTCATTCATCACTCCTGATTGACATTTTAATGTTTAACCAGGGAATTAGCCATGGAAAATTTCAAACAAAGATGAACAGATTGAAAATTTTAATATTCATGTTCAGACATTTCAAACTATATAAAAGGAAATTAATCAAATTATCAATTGGTGTCATTGACATTTTCCATACATATTATGATAACCTTTTATTATTTGCAAGATATTATAGTCCTACGTCCTGTGATTTTGTGATATATATTCTATTCTATTAAGAATAATCAGGCTGAACTTTAATACAAAGTAGAGATTTTTTAGAAATAGATTTAAACAAAAAAATATTCAACATATAATATTTGATGCATATCCAATAGAGGACTTACAAATGTTTTAGACTACTTTACCTGCTATTGCTGAAACTGTGTGAGATGGGGTGAACCTAGCAGCATATCTTTGCCGAGCATAGATACTTGCTGTTAACCCTGCAGCTCCACCTAAAAAGAATTCCCCCAAAACGAAAACATGTAAATGATGCAATAAATAATTGAAAACAAATTTGAGATCGCATTATTAGTCACAAACATTACACTACACGTCTTGATATATGGTCATTTTAGTTTTTGTACGTCTCATAGTCATATAAAATTGTTTTATAGCTTGACCCTAAATGCATTCAACTATAGTTCTGTAGTTCTGGAGTTGAACAAAAATTAATATTTGGAGACAGCATCCACAATGAAATACTTTGTCATTTATTTTTTAACATCAAGACCCCAAGCCATTAAGTCTGACTGCACTCAAAAATTGGTCTTGAGATTAAAACTGATTTCAACAACACGGTTTCTGATATCTATTTAAATAGCTAATTTACACAAAAGAAGAGACTTTTCACAAATTAGTATTGAGCCTAGCTAACCATCTTTATTATCTGAGTAAAACCATTGACCATGTCAGTGAATCATGGAACTTAAAGTTAAACAGTTGAATCATCATTAGAATTAGACATTCAGATTTGTTAGCTTTTAATTTATTATTAAATATTAGCTCATATATATTTACTCACCTGCTACAAAACCAATGAAGCCTTTCAAAAATGCCTTTGATTGACATCGGGCATACTCTTGAACACCCTGTAAATTTTTGAACAAAAACAATTGCTTTATGAAAATATATCTCGGCTCTGCTCTGAGCTCTGATAACAAAAATAAAAAAATTAGGAGAATAAAAACAAATTATTTAGATCTATTAGGGTGGTCTAACAGATAAGATTCAAACTTCATTGTTCAGAACTTGGGTGAATTTCATTTTCGGAAATCTAGCAACATTCCTCTTGTTTACAGTTGACGAAAAATCACCGAAGGCTAAATGTTAACAAGTATTTAGGAAGGAGAATTATGTCAACATTCTAAGCTCAGCTCAGCTCAGGCTCAGGGCCAGTACCGGAAATCGCCCACAAAACTGTGCCGACACTGCCCCGTCTGCGCGCGCTGCGTAACGTCAGTTTCCCTTTCCCTTTCCACGATCGCATTATGCTGCATGCAGCTGCAGTAGAGTTAAAAACGGAATCATTTGGTGGTGAGGCTTCAAAGAACTCCAAAGACTTTTACTCACCGGATAAACGTCATCATCAAGGTCTGTGATACTCTGCAAAACCATGATTTTACCTCAGAAGCCGGCTGCTAAATTGTTCACATTACGCAATTTTGAATGAACTTATCACACATATTTTCGCAGATGTAAACAACAAATTATGTACGGTAGTGTCGAGTTGCACAGTTTATGTCTCAAAGAAAATACGAAAATGCTCCACATAATCTCACTTATGACAGGCCATCAAAGAAAAGCTTATATAGTTTTGAGCGAGAACAGTATACTCCGATTAAGAGACTATTGGAGTATTCGATGAAATCATGACTAAAGATTTAAAATTGAAAAAAGCTACTTTACTTGATGATTCTGAAATCAAGTTGTGTAACACACAATAAATGACGGTTTCTCGCCAAATTTGGCTTGCTTTTCTGATGACGTCATTGGTGATTCCCCGTCGCGCCGCGACTTGTGAAGGCACAGTGTTGTTCAAGTAAAAACTTTACCATCGATCGTAACCTTCCCTGAAGCTATAAAGGTAAGCTTCAGCTTCAATAGTTCTAAAATTCGTTTATTTATACACTCATTTTCTTGTTACTTGATGAATATAAATAAAATCGGAAGGAACAACTTTAGAATACCCCACCCTGCGGATTTAATGCTTTTTTTTTGTCCACCAACCTAACGCTTCAACTTGTTAAAGTACTAAAGTTACAAGGTGCCGAGATTTAGTCTTGAATGGAAATCGCAATCCAGCCTGCCGCCAACGTGCCAACGAGCCAACATGAGTTGAGAGTCTTGAATTGATATCGTCAACGTGCCAACGTGCCAACGAGCCAACATGAGTTGAGAGTCTTGAATTTATATCGCCAACGTGCCAACGTGCCAACGAGCCAACATGAGTTGAGAGACTTGAAGTTAAATCGCCAACGTGCCAACGTGCCAACGAGCCAACATGAGTTGGTGAGAGACATGAGTTTATATCGCCAACGTGCCAACGTGCCAACGTGCCAACGAGCCAACATGAGTTGAGAGTCTTGAATTTATATCGCCAACGTGCCAACGTGCCAACGAGCCAACATGAGTTGAGAGACTTGAAGTTAAATCGCCAACGTGCCAACGTGCCAACGAGCCAACATGAGTTGGTGAGAGACATGAATTTATATCGCCAACGTGCCAACGTGCCAACGAGCCAACATGAGTTGAGAGTCTTGAATTTATATCGCCAACGTGCCAACGTGCCAACGAGCCAACATGAGTGGAGAGACTTGAAGTTAAATCGCCAACGTGCCAACGAGCCAACATGAGTTGAGAGACATGAATTTATATCGCCAACGTGCCAACGTGCCAACGTGCCAACGAGCCAAATGAGTTTAGAGACTTGAATTTATATCGCCAACGTGCCAACAAGCCGAGAGACTTGAAGTTAAATCGCCAACGTTATAACGTGCCAACGAGCATGAGTTGAGAGACTTGAAATTAAATCGCCAACGTGCCAACGTGCCAACAAGCCGAGAGACTTGAAGTTAAATCGCCAACGTGCCAACGAGCCAACATGAGTTGAGAGACTTGAATTTGAATCGCCATCGTCTTGGAAATGGGCTCAAATGGGCTATGAGAATGAAAAGAGACTGTTTTTATAGATGAAAAAAGGCATTTATGAGAGAGGGAAGGGGCTCTTTTTTAAATGGGGGCGCTTATTAGAAAGGAAAGGGCGCACATATGAAGATATAAGGTGCGCTTATCAGATTTGAATAGGGCAATTATCAGAGGTGAAAAGGGACGCTATTCGTATCTGAAAAGGGCACTTAAATTATTACAAATTATAAAGGGCACTTATGAGAATGGAAAATGAACACTTATTGCAAAATAAAATGGGAACTTGTCGAACGAAAAGGGGTACGTGTAAAGAAGAGGGTGTACTTATCAGAGGTGGAAAGGGGAAGGGGCATTTTTAAAAATTAATAGGGACACTTTTCAAAGTAAAAGGGGCACTTTTTATGTAAAAAGGGGCATTTCTTACAAAGTTCATAGGGCACTTTTTCTGTTTTAAAAGGGGCACTTTTGGAGAACTTGATAAAGTGGGGGGGGGGGGGGCACTGTGCCCCCCTCCCGGGAGCGCCGCCTCTGATAAACATACATACAACTATCACACATAATTATGTTTATATACTTTTATAAACGTTATAAATTTAAATGAAAGTTTCGCTTGTACCAGTTAAATATTCGTCTAATAGTAAAATATCCTAAGGACTAAATGAGTAATCGAAACTGTTTTATACTCGACCAAATGTAAAACGTTTTGTTAACTATAAAGGTGAGGCGATATTCATCCTATTTCATATACAATCATATGAACGAATTATACAATGGCTGCTCTCCTCGTTTGCTAAGTGGGTTATTTACATAATATGTTTGCCATTTTCTCTGTTATTTATTTTGGTTTACAAAATATTAACGCTGTTGATTATGCTTCAACTGCAAGCTTGACTGCTAATACAGAGTGATAAGTTATACTAATAATGATAGTGAAACAAGGCATTTCCAGGAACTGTAGTAGTACCTAGTAGTATAGTAGTACTGCTACTACTACTACTAAAGTTCAAAGCTTGCGCGCTTCGCGCGAGAGGGGAAAACTGATTTCAGACAAGGATTAAGAGTCGAGAATGGTGCAACGAATCGTATTCTTTCTCTAAGATTTTAATGAAACGTCAAAGCTTGCGCGCTTCGCGCGAGAGGGGGGGGGGGGGGGGGAATGATTTCAGACAAGGATTAAGAGTCGAGAATAGTACAATGAATCGTCTTTTTTTTCTAATAATTTCTGAAAGGTCAAAGCTTCCGCGCTTCGCGCAGGTTTTCCATATCCATCACCCCTTATGTATTTGTTTGTTTAGAACTTCTTTTATCTTCTTTTTCTAATTTCCTTATGTTATTCTTTATTTCTCTTTCTTTTCCATTTCCATTTTGCTTATTAGCACCTGTCTTTCCTTATGGTATTTTTTATTTCCTCCTTGTTTTATATTTTATTTTGTTTAATCTTCCATTTCTATCTTTCCACAAGTTATTCTTTGGGTCCCGTCACCCAAGGCACCAGAGTTTGCGTTACCATAACTCTCTACCTAACCCTAACCCTAGGACACCGGGTCCCGCATCAGCCTAGGACACCGGGTCCCGCGTCACCCTGGGACACCGGGTCCCGCGTCACACTAGGACACCAAAGTTTGCGTTACCCTAACTCTCACCCTAACCCTAACCCTAGGACACCGTGTCCCGCGTCACCCTAGGACACCGGGTCCCGCGTCACCCTAGGACACCGGGTCCCGCGTCACCCTAGGACACCGGGTCCCGCGTCACCCTAGGACACCGGAGTTTGCGTTACCCTAACTCTCACCCTAACCCTAACCCTAGGACACCGGATCCCGCATCACCCTAGGACACCGGGTCCCGCGTCACCCTGGGACACCGGGTCCCGCGTCACCCTAATACACTGGAGTTAGCGTTACCCTAACTCTCACCCTAACCCTAACCCTAGGACACCGTGTCCCGCGTCACCCTAGGACACCGGGTCCCGCGTCACCCTAGGACACCGGGTCCCGCGTCACCCTAGGACACCGGGTCCCGCGTCACCCTAGGACACCGGGTCCCGCGTCACCCTAATACACCGGAGTTAGCGTTACCCTAACTCTCACCCTAACCCTAACCCTAGGACACCGGGTCCCGCGTCACCCTAGGACACCGGGTCCCGCGTCACCCTAGGACACCGGGTCCCGCGTCACCCTAGGACACAGGATCCCGCGTCACCCTAGGACACCAAAGTTTGCGTTACCCTAACTCTCACCCTAACCCTAACCCTAGGACACCGTGTCCCGCGTCACCCTAGGACACCGGGTCCCGCGTCACCCTAGGACACCGGGTTCCGCGTCACCCTAGGACACCGGATCCCGCATCACCCTAGGACACCGGAGTTTGCGTTACCCTAACTCTCACCCTAACCCTAACCCTAGGACATCAGGTCTCGCGTGACCCTAGGACACCGGAGTTTGTATTACCCTAGCTCTCACCCTAACTCTAACCCTAGGACACCGGATCCCGCGTCACCCTAGGACACTGGAGTTTGCGTACTAACTCTAACCCTAACCCTAGGATACCGGGTTCTGCGTTACCCTAACTCTCACCCTTACCCTAACCCTAGGACACCGGGTCCCATTTCCATTTGATTTTCTTCTTCTTTTGCAGTTTTACAAATATATAACAAACAAAACATTTTATACATGACAAAAGAGTATATGTAAAACAAAGTAAGGTTGGCTGTTACTAATCAGAAACATCAATCAGGTTTATTTTTTATTGCTTGATTTTCTTTTTCTTTTTCTGTTTTACATATATACAAACAAATCATTGAACATTTACACATGACAAAAGATTAAACAAAGTAAGGTTGGCCGTAACTAATCGAAAACATCAAACAGGAGGGTTGACAAAGTAAGCAAAGCTTGATAGTATGACTACCCTCAATGGATACATAATAATACAAATATGGAGACAAAAATATTGGTAAAATGGAAAAAAAAGAGAGGGAGAAAAAAGGGAAGAACATTTTTTTTAGGAGGGGTGTACATCAAAATGTACAGATTTTTGTGGTAGATGGATTTCTATCGATATATTATGGTTATAGTATATTATTCCTCTATTAATTCCCCTTTTCTTGTTTTCAATTTGTTTTACCCACGACCACTTCTTCTTCTTTTTCTTCTCCTTTGATCTTCATCTTCTCAATTAAACCACAAAGATATTTATTGTTTTCTTTGAAGGCGTCACTGTGCAACACTCTCTAACAGTGATTAACAGTAAATTCTCCCAACGTTTTTTTCTCTGAAACTAAGACATAAATTGGGCTTTAAAAAATCTTAACGCTATATTGAGCCATTCACTGCTTTGCCGATTTACATTCACCTAACGTTACCATGTGCGCATGCGCACCCTTATTATTATCATTGTTGTAGTATTATTCCTCGATCTATTCCCCTTTCTTTTGTTTTACCCCTTTACCCACGACCACTAGGCCCTTCTTGTTCTCCGATCTTTATCTACTCCCATTTCTCTTATTCTTCTTTTTAATATTATCAATAATGATAATATTAATAATAATAATTCTCTTCAATTCTCATCTGTCTTCGGACTATAGACCCTCTAGACTCTTTCTATTAATTGTTCTGTACTTCATTCTTCTCTCCTTTGATGACTTTGCCGGGATTGGGTTGTCTGCCAACGATGTCCGCACTGTGTGACGTCACCAACCCCTGTGCGTAGCAAATCGTTGTTCGTTGGCTCTTACCAACATGCATGTGTTCAACAACTAACTTTGCCGAGATTGTTTTGCCTGCCAACGATCCTACGATGTCCAACGAGGAGCAGGAGGGGAGGGGAGGGGGAGGAAACTGAATTAGGACATAAAATAAGAGTCTGCATGATACAACAAATCGTCTTCTTTCTCTAATAATTAATGAAAGCTAAAATCTTCCATGCTTTGCGCGGGGGGTAGGGGGGGGGAACCGATCAATGAAACACCAAAGCTAATTCCACGCTTCACGCGGGAGGGGGGGGGGGAACCTGCATGACTTCAGACAAGGATTAAGAGTCGAGAATAGTACAACGAATCGTCTTCTTTCTCTAATAATTTAATGAAAGGTCAAAGCTTCCGCGCTTCGCGCGAGAGCGGGGGGGGGGGGGGGGGGGGAGGCGGGGAGTGGCGGGAACTGAATTCAGACAAGAATAAGGAGTCAAGAATATGGTACAACAAATCGTCTTCTTTCTCCAATAATTGATGAAAGGTAAAAGCTTCCGCGCTTTGCGCGGGCGGGGGAAAACTGAATTCAGACAAGAAATAAGAGTCGAGAATGGTACAACAAATCCTCTTTTTTTTCTAATAATTAATGAAAGTTCAATCACCAGTGGCGTGCCAACGTACTGACAATGGATCATAAATCGCCATCATGCCAACGTACTAACACTGAAACATGAAGTTAATAACGTGACATTTCAATCATTAATTTCATATCGCAGTAATTTGAAACAGCTCCCCCAAGTATTTTTAAAGAAATAAAATTGTAAATCTCCATCGTGCCTAGAAAGACAAATGTGAATGTTATATTCCTTATTCGGTCAATGGCCAGATGACGGACGGACCAACGTGCCAACGCTCCTTATTTCCTGTATTATTTTCGTTTGGCAATGAGGGACGGGCCAACGTGCCAACGCGCCAACGCGCCTTATTTCCTTTCTTTGTTTGCCATTTAAAGGACACCATTTAAAGGACACCACAAGTTCCTGACCAATGGCTTCTATTGGTAAATCAATAATGATAAATCAAAACCGACTTTAGCAACTGTCCACCAAAAAAAGTATATTATAATCTCAATTGCATTAAATTAAGAAGGGAACATGCTGAGATATATAGAAAATTATCTAACAGCACGAACTTTTCAAGTACGAATTGGAAATACAGAATCTAAAACTTATAAAACGCATAACGGGTTACCACAAGGGAGTGTTTTAAGTCCTCTTTTATATAATATAATGATGGGTGATATACCTACAGACCAAGATGTAAGCATATCTATGTATGCAGATGACTGCGCAATATGGATATCAGGCAGGAACATTGTACATATTACTGAAAAAATACAGAAATATTTGAATCTTTTAAATCGTTGGTTTGAAGAGTGGGGGTTTCGACTCTCACCTGTCAAAACAGTGCCCGTACTTTTTACGAAAAGCTGGAATGCCGTTCTACCGCCTGATATAGAACTGAATGGAAATGTGTTAATGTACGAAAAATCTCATCGCTTTTTAGGGGTTATATTTGATAAAAGGTTAACTTGGCAACCACATATCGAAAATGTAATCACGAGAAGTAAAAGAAAATTAAATATCTTAAGATGTCTAACTGGAACAAACTGGGGAAGTTCCTCGAAATCACTTATCATGGTGTACAGAGCAATTATAAGGTCTCTTTTTGATTACGGATGTGAGGCGTATGACAGTGCAGCTGCTACCACCAAAAAAGCCATTGACTCTGTCCAATACCAAGCACTGAGGATATGCGCAGGTGGGCTGCCATTAACCTCCTTAGAATCACTACAGGTGGAAATGGGGGAAATGCCTTTGGATATAAGAAGACAAATGCTTTCAAGTAAATATAGACAAAACATCGAAAGATGGGCGAATCATCCGTTGTTAAAAAACATTGAACCATGTTGGCATTTTGAATACTTGAAGGGGAAAAACGTAAACAAACCTTTTGGATATAGAATACAAAGCAAGCTGGGAAAACGTATAGAAACGATAACCTACTCCCCATTTCCACCATGGTTATTCTACCCTCCGGCAGTGTCAACGGAATTAAGTACTCGAATAAAGAAAACAGATCATCCTACACAACAAAAACAAAGCAGCCTGGAAATCGTACATACTAAATGGGCGACTCAATTACATATATACACCGATGGATCAAAAGTACCTGAAAGAGGGACCTCTGCAGCTGCTTTTTACGTCCCTTACTATTCTGTACATCGGAGCAAAAGGTTAGCAAATTTCACCTCTTCGTACAGGGCTGAATTGGCTGCCATCATTCTTGCTCTCAGATGGGTAGATGAATTAGACATTTATGTGGGGGTTGTTATTTTTAGTGATTCACTGAGTGCACTTATTGCATTACAACAACAGAAGGACGAATCTTTTATTCTGGAAATTCTCACCATGACTACTCACTTAAAGAATAAAGGAGTTGATATATATGTAGAGTGGATACCTGGACATTGTGGAATAAAAGGGAACGAGATGGCGGATTTCCACGCAAAGGCCGCATTAGTAAAGAAAATAGAAGTCAATAATAACCTAAATATGTCAGAAATGAAAAGCTTAATTACTACAAGTTCCAAACTCCTTTGGCAAGAAAGGTGGAACAAAACCAACTCGTATTTGAAAACATATCAAAAAGATGTTAATAAACCATATATATGCTCATTAGAGAGACAACATTCAACAATAATACATCGACTCCGCTTTGGAGTCCTTGGACTTAACCAGGATCTCCTCAGATTGGGAATTCATGCTACTGGTTTCTGTAATAGATGCCCCAGTGAAATAGAGACTGTAAAACATTTTTTAGTACATTGCCCTAACTATATTATAGAAAGGGCTATGTTTCTAACAGAAATTAACGAATCCCAACCTGAAAAAATTATGGAATACTTAAAAAAGAGTGAGTCCAGTATACAAAAAGCTATTGTACGGTTCTTTCTCAGAACGAAACGGTTCCCTATCAGGAAGTAATACCTCCCTTGATGAACAGTAAAATATAATACAATATTATAAATATGCTAAATTACACTCAGTACATTAAAAATATAATAACATAATGTAATAAGAAAATAAAAAAAGAACAGTAAAACATAATACAATATTATAAATATGTTAAATTACACTCAGTACATTAAAATATAATAACATAATGTAATAAGAAAATAAAATAAGAATAGTAAAACATTATACAATATTATGATATGCTAAATTACACTCAGTACATTAAAAATATAATAACAATCATAATGTAATAAGAAAATAAAATAAGAACAGTAAAACATAATACGATATTATAAATATGTTAAATTACACTCAGTACATTAAAAATATAATAACATAATGTATTAAGAAAATAAAATAAGAAAAAGTAACAACAATGATAAAAGGTATGATAAGATTACTGAATATAGAAGCTTGTGTAGGTGCTATCTTATATACATATTTATGTATGGTGTGTATGTGATATAACAAATAATCTGCACGTACTGTTAAGAAACACTAACAAAGCCCATGAATGTTTTGCTTACGATATTATTTTACGATACTATCTTAAAAGATAGATAAATATAAAACGAAATAACTGTATTTTTAAAAAAATCCAAAATTGAGAGATATAACACGTGCCGTAAAGTAATTTGGCGACAATAGTCAAATCACTGACTAATCGCCAATAACTCAAAACACAACAACAACAACACAACTTGTTTTCCCCCTTTACTTTTAGGCTACCTATTTCCTATATTATTTTCGTTTGGCATGCAATGAAGGACGGGCCAACCACTGACCTATACACCAACGTGCCAACGCGCCAACGCGCCAACGCACCTTATTTCCTTTCTTTGTTTGCCATGTAAAGGACACCATAAGTTCCCGATTTTTTTTTTCTTCCCCCTTACTTTACTTTTAGGCTACTTTTCGACAATTTTCAAGCAATATCAAGGGTAAAACATTACAACTAAGGTGAGAACATCTTTAACAAACTATAAATAAAATACTTTGATGTGTAAGAGGTAATAGGAAGGAGTTAAAACATAACAAATAACCATATTTCCATTCTCGAGTTGATGCGATGACAAATTCAGAAACTGGTCACGAATACGAAAGGAAGGGACTACACTAAATTGGTACGTTGGCGCGTTGGCGACCAACGGACATACTACGTTTTGGTGGGGTATTCTAAAGTTAAGCCAATCGGAACATTGCAATCATGTTTCATACCGGTAATTCTTTAGATCTAGTCTAGATCTACTTCCTGAAAATTGATTGTCAGAAGATTGTCAGAAGGCGCGGCGTGAGTAGCGTGCAGATCGGCGCAACGGGGCCTGGAGCTCTGGCGTGGGCGCCCAGGCCCAGGCACAGCTCACATCGGGGTCAGCTACGAGCATGCAGTTTCCACATATTGTTTCGCATGATTGGTAATAAGAGCTTCCAAGAGGGGGCGTTTCCAAAACTGGTCTTTACCAGTAATAGTAATACAAAGTTTTGGTATGGGGTCATGAATTTGGTTCAAATGAAGATAGATTTTTACTATTCATCTAATTTTCAAAATTTCCTTAAACTTTCCTTTAATTCTTTTAATCAAAATTATAATTAATAAATGACACTATTTGTAAAGCTTAAATCCTCCTTTTTTTCTGGGATGCACTGTATGTCTCATTTATCATTTGTCTCATCTGTTTTACCTGTAGGTGTTTGACTTCTCCAAGATGGCTGTTGCTGAGCAGTGTCCCATGGATGAGAGCAGACAGCTGGATCCCTATGAGCAAGACAAGGAAGCACATGAATCCTTCATGAAAAGTAGGAGTAGTAGCCTCTTAGGACGTAAGGATATCCTGGAAGAGGTTGGTGTAACTGTTAAAAGGGGTAATATTCCATGAATTAGGGACCCACTTTAATACATAAGGAACCCACACTTATTTGTGGCTCTGAGTAAAGACTTATAGTGGAGTGAGATTGTAAAGTGATTTCCAAGCATATTATTGCGTCCTCTTTCCTAGAATCACTTAACAATCTCACTCTTCTATTCGGGTCTCTATACTCAGAGCCACAAATATGTGTGGGTTCCTTATGTAAGTGGGACACCAAAAATGTCACAAAGTGGGTCCCTAATTTATGGAATTGCCCAAATATATTATAAAACAGGGTCTAGAATGTAGGCAATCTAATTGGTCAAATGACACCATGTGACAGGGCATCTTTCTTTCCTACCACGCCTACCATGCCAAAAAGTTCCCATCAGCAAAAAGTGATCACCAATTAATATGGCTGAAAGTGATAAAGCACGGCTAGCGTATACATGTATCTGGCATGTACAAAATAAGATGCGGTGAATTGCTTGCAGTCTCAAATGGCAAAGACAATGATGCACGTATTGCACCTCAATGATCTTGTTCCCTTTTTGAGAAAGAGTACCGGTAGTTAGAGACAGATAGGAAAGCCGTCATCAAAAGGAGATGAAATGAAACACTTCCCCAGCCTTTCTTTTGAACCTTTTTTGTACATTTCATTCACCCAAACCCTGTGCCCCAATGAGAGTATAGCTAGTGCCCCCTTAATGTACGTCACACTCACTTATAGTAAGGGCCCCGTTTCATCTAAACTTGAAATCAATTCAGAAGTTCAATTTTTTATAAGCTACAGATATCATTGCATTTGATTGGCTGGGAACAATTTGTACAATTTTAGCGTTTTTGATGATAAAACATTTTATGAAATGGGACCCTGCATGATGTTGGTATCAAATGTGCGTGCAGGTATACAAAAAATTATACACATCAATTAAATCCAGTAACTCATTACATGCATACATACATTTATTACAAATGACAATGGATCTTGCAGATTGACAGGGGGTCCAGGGGGAAGTGTGGCGCCCTCATTGTTCTTGGTGGACCAGGTATCGGCAAGTCTTCTCTGCTAGCCAGGGCTGCTGATGTAGCATGCTTGAGGGCCGCCAAGGCAATGCCCAGGTATATAGTTCCTTGGATCAGGGACCCATTTCACAAAGCCTTCTTTCAATGATGAATGACAAAAATCAGTGATAAATCTGCTGATAACCAATCAGAAGCAAGGATTTCAGTAGCTTATAACAAAAACTGTCATTTGTCACTGATGACAAGTTTTGTGAAATGCCCTCCTGTTCATTTAAGTTTACTCCTGAGTGGCTTTATTCAACAAAAGGGACAAACGGGGGACTGCCACAGCAAAATTACGGCTCAAGTAATATGTAAATGAAAATATACTTCAAACAGTGTGGGTGTCCAGGTTTTTAATCCTTGATGAATAAAGAATAAAGAGATTTATGCACTTCTTGTAGCTACTTGCGCCCTCTTTATAGCAAACAATGCTAATTGGTACCCGTTGGTCCCCCATGATCCCCTTTTTCTTATTTTAATTGAGAGTTGATTTGATTAAATAACCACCTGTCAGTGACCATGCAGGGAGGTCTAATCCCTCCTGGTCAAACTAGTGCAGTCAGGCTTTAATGTTGGATACTTCAATTTCATTGAATCAATGTTCTCCTTCTTCTTCAGTGGACAGGGACCTAATTTGAACGTATTCTATCACTTTGTCGGTGCCATCCCAGGATCCACTAATCCAGAGAAAATGATCAAAAGACTTCTCAGAGAACTCAATGTCTGTAATGTAAGTTATGTACATTATCATGAGTTAGGAGTATTTTCAATCATCAAGATGTATGATATAAACAGTTGTCTAATACTGCAAAGAAAAAATTATGATGACATACTCATTGTGATTGGAGCTATTAGCTGAACATTATCTTTGAAATACCGGTACTGTTCTTTGTCAAAAGAGTAGATCAGCATGTTTTAGACACCATCTTTAATTATGTACTTATAATTTTAAGATATCTACACTCTTCAATGATGTTTTGAAACTGAAACACTGAAAAACACAATAAAGGTGTCTTTTGCTTGTAGAGAATCTAGTTGAAAATATAACGATGTTTGGTTTATTTTCATCATTAACTATTAGCCTAAATGGTCATTAGACTAAATGATATTTAAACGAAATGATTATTGGACCATTTGGATAGTACACAGCCGGGTGTAGACCATATGGAAATAGACCAATTGGGTAGTAGACGAACAGGTCTTAGACCAAATGGCATATACTTCTGCATGCTGTCTATATAGTACTCTGTCATTTGCTTAATCCTGTGACGTTCTGAAAGCTGTTTCACCATGGCATATATGTAAGCCTAAATAGTGCAGGTATATTCCTGGTTTCTTTTTCTGAGCATTATCTTTGATAGTCCCATGTATGCTCTTTGTTGTTAGGACCTTAACATGCCCAAGGACTATGAATCAGCGTGCCAGATTGCAAGCAGTGCCCTCTCAAACCCAAACACAAGGCCAACACTCATCGTCATTGATGCTCTCGACCAGGTATGAATCAGTTCTAATCATGTTGAAATTAACATCGCTTTCTCTATGGTGCGTAGAGTAGTTTAATAGATTGTAGATAGTACTGACAATTTCACTTTCCAAACTAAACCAAAGTGACTCATCCTCATATACTTGTGAGAAAAAGTTGACAGGAATGCACTTAAAAATGCTGTTTCTTTTCATATACATGACCAAGAGGATTGTCAGCAAATAATTACTGTTGGTGAAGGTGATGGGACAAACTATCACTTCCGAGGCGATCTGGATGTAGCTATCTCTCCGAAGCAAAGCTGAGGAAAGATGGCGTATACATTCAGATCGTCGAGGAAGTGATAGTTTGCCATTGGCTGAAACCAAAAGGTGATTATTTGCTTTATATTCCACATCGGAAACATTCCACTTCTTCCCTCATTTTAGACCAATAAATCATCAATTAACAGCAAGCAAAAGTTGCTGTCCAAACTGGCTCCACAGGTCTGTTGTGTCTTCTCCGTAATCCTAAATTCCATGAAAACACCATTTCTCTTTTTTGCCCGTTAAAAGCTTGATGAGGACGGAACGGCCTCCGCTTTAAGATGGTTGCCATCCAAACTAAGATGGTTGCCGCCCGAACTTGCACCCCAGGTCTGTTGTGTCTTGTCCATGATCAACGAAACCCCTCCTCATCATACGCTGAGAGAGAGGAAGATCAAACGGGTGGAGCTACCCGTCCCCCCTCTAGAGATGGAATCCAGAAGGGTAAGACAATTCAATTCAATTCAATTCAATTTATTTCATTCAGTTAAAAATACAACATTTCATATAACAATCAGCTATATAACATAAAATACACATTAAGAACATATTGGACAAGGACATAAAATTAACTGAATAGGTCGCAACCTGAAAGGAAACATAAACCCTATATAAAGGTTGACCCTTTTTTTGATACTAGAAAATATGAAATATATTTGTAACTAAACATTATACAATACACAAATTAAGAAAACAAACACGTACAAACAAACAAATAAAATATGTCTTGAATTCAAATGATTATTGCAAAAATACACAAAAGAAATTTCTTATACCTACGTTTAAATTCATTTACACTAGCAGAATTATGAATATAATGAGGAAGAGTGTTCCACTAAAACGGTCCTTAGAAAATAATTATTTGTTGGTTTATTACTGTACAAGTCAATGGCAAATGAAATTTTTTAGCATTTCTAGTATTATAATTATGAATATTACAGTTTAATATAAACAATTTGGAAATAGAATCAGGAAGATTATTCCCCCTGCCAGTGTCAATATTATTCAATAATATTTTTTGCGGTGTAGTTGTCAGTGGATTCTGCGTAAAGGGCGGATAACTCTCCCGTTTGTGATAGGTGCAGAAATATCACTAATTTAAGTTTTTCCTCCCAAGTGCCTTTACCCTTGGGGTGCTACTCAAAATATTTAATATATACTTTTCTTTTATAGGACTTGTAACGATACTATTAATAGTTCTCTAAAAAGAAAGACAATACTTTTTAGAAACATTGAAAAGATTTCAGTAGCTTATAACAAAATCTGTCACTATTCACTGATGACAAGTTTTGTGGAACGCCCCCCTGAACCAAAATTTGAACTTTGAACAGGAGATTGTATCAGAGATCCTAGGTCAGTTCGACAAGCGTCTGGACGAGGAGCAGATGGTGAGTCTTCTGAGCAAGGAAGCATCTCAGAACCCTCTCTGGCTGTCTATCGCTTGTGAAGAGCTCCGAGTCTACGGTGTCTTCTCTAAGGCCACAGACAAGATCAACACCCTGGCAGATGGGCTTTTAGAGTAAGTTGATTGTATTTAAATAATTCATGATAATAGTGGGTTCTTGTCCATTAATATTGATGTGTAAATGTCTTGTTTTCAGGCTCCTGGCCCACTTTCTAGAGAGGTTTGAAGCTGAGGTTGGAGGGAGCCTTATGATAGCCACCCTGTGTCTCCTGGAGTGCTCCTCTTCAGGTCTCCTGGAGGCTGATCTCCTTCCCTCCCTTGAGACAAAGATATATAAATATAAATGTTTTTAATTTTCTTTGTCAGGCTCCTAGCACAAGTCCTATAGAGCTATAAGAGTGGAGGGAGCCTGTTGGTAGCCACCCTGTCTCTCCTTGAGTGCTCCTTCATAGGTCACCTGGAGTCCGAGCTCCTTCCCTCTCTATGAGACAAAGTTGTATGAAATGATGTATCACCTGTCTATTTCTCTTTTCAGGCTCCTGGCTCAAGTCCTGGAGAGGTTGGAAGCTGAGGGTGGAGGGAGCCTTATGGTTGCTACCCTGTGTCTCCTGGAGTGCTCCTCCTCTGGTCTCCTGGAGGCTGAGCTACTGGCCATCCTCGGAGATGAGGATAACCTGATGCCTTCAGATAATGGAAAGAACAAAAAGAAAAAAGGTTTGTATTAAAGATGAGATGATTCATTGATCATTTATTTGTTTGCATGTTATGAAATTAGTCAGTAAGGCCTACAGGCTAACATCCTAAACAAGGAAAACAACACCCTCAAAGGGTGTTGGACTACACATCCTCAAGAAAGATTACAGAGAGTCCTTTTCAGGACCCCACAGTCCTCCTTCTCTCTCTCTCACATGGTGCACCCGCAAGCCTACTGTATAACACCCTCAAAGTTCCACTATTATATAGCTTGGAATTGTGACATGATCTTAATGCCCCCATAAAGATATCATTTTGGAAGATGCTTCCTTCAATATATGTACATTCACATGATTTGTATGTATTACATAGCATGTATTAGCATCAAGCATGCATCAAAGGAGACATGAAATTGCAATAATTGCTTTAATACCGTAAGGTGCAACACTAAGCTCATTCAAATTACATGTACCGTAAATCTCTGTGTATAAGATGCACTTTTTTCCCGCAAAATTTTGTTTTGAAATTTGGGGGTGCGTCTTTTAAGTGTCGATTTATGCCCCCTCCACCTGCACTGTGCCTGGCAATATCTCCAAGCTCATTCATACAAGGTGTGTTGACTCACCACTTGCACCAATACAGTCACAGTAAGATACTGTAGGAAGTTATTTGAAGTGGCACAGTAAAACTGTACTAGATTATATAATCTGTAATCCAGGTTACAAAGTTGCAACAGTAATGTACTCTCACTATTTGTCACCTGGGTTATAGTGATGGCACAGCATCGAACTGTAGGATACAACTACAACAACACTACCTGTATGGCCGGATTTCTGTTGGACTTAGAGAAAAATTTGTCTGTCATCTTTATTTTAAAAAATGACATTGTTACTATTATTTGTGTCAAGTTCACAAAAACAAATCGGCACCTTCAACTGCACCTCGCAGTGCATTTTTTAACACGGATCTGGCTTGCTGCCTACAGAGTCAGCATTTTTTTTGTTTTTGTTATTTATTTTGTTTCCCCCGAAAAATAGGGGTGCATCTAATACACAGAGATTTACAATCTAAGCTTTTTTTAAGTATATCCAGTGAAAATGAATGACGAAAAAGGATCAGTAAAAGATGACAAATATTGCTGCGATACTGGGGGGTGCACGAGATATAGAATTTCTTGAAATGGGTGTAACTTAATCAAAATATAACCCTTTTCATATACAGTGAAACCTGTATATAAAGACTGCTCAAGGAAGACAGTCACACGAAAAGTGGTCTTTATAGGCAGCTGGTCTCTAGAGCAGGTTCTACTTCATCTTCTATGTATTTTGAAATGTTCAGGTGCCAGCAAGAAGAGGAAAAAATCCAACAAGCCCCAGCCGCTGACCGCCGTCAAGTGGGCCCGGGTCTACCGTACTCTGCAACCTTTCCTACGACCCTTTGGGGAGAGTGGAGAGGGGCGGCTTGAGTTCTACCACCGCTCCCTCAGCAAGGCAGTCAGAAAGAAGTATTTCAATGCCCGGCTGGCTGGGGAAGGAGAGGGCGCTGCCATGAACGTAACTCTTGTATGCTGGTGGAACACAAAACTGGCCGATTACTTTGAAAATGTGTCTAATCTGGAGAGGAAAGTTGAGGTTAGTGTCAGATGATGTAATAATAATAACGGTGAACATTTGTAATGCTCCATATTTGTCAAAATTGACACTCCTGGCGCTGTTGTGAGAAAACTGTATGATTGTAGGCATACAGGTGTACGTCTATCAAGGAATGCAAAATACTCAAAATTTAAGTTTAATATACCGTAAATCTCTGTGTGTAAGACGCACCTGTGTATAAAACGCACCCCTATTTTTGGGGCCAAGAAAACAGCAAGCCAGGTCTGTGTTAAACAACCCACGCAGGGAAGGACTTTCATTTAAATGTGAGGTGCAGTTGAAGGTGCCGATTTGTGCTTGTGAACTTGTCACAAATAATAGTAACAATGTCGTTTTTAGAAGAATGTGTAAGATCATTAATGTAAATTAAGAACAGTAGAGGACCTAGAATAGAACCTTGTGGTACGCCGTGTGTAATAGAAGAAAAATTGGAGGAATTATTATATAAACTACATATTGAGATCTATTAGAAAGATTACTTTCAGGCCAAGATGACAGACAAATTGGAGTGTCGTTCTAGTTTCCGAGTGGTGAGTCAACACAGATTACTTCTTTTTTTCTTCTTTTCTTCTTTTACCTGTGTATAAGACGCACCCCCGACTTTCAATTTTTTTCGGCGGCCAAAAAGTTTGTCTTATACACAGAGATTTACGGTACTTCAAGACATAATATTATGCATTTATAAATTATACATTATGCATTTACGTATATTATATTGTCTCTTCTTTAATTCATTCAGATTTGTTTATATACGTAATTATCATCATTTAACCTTCTCGTATATGTTGCATGTTGATATTTGTAGTAATAGAATATAAACTGTAATGAAAGGGTCAAAGTAAAAAACAAGCAGTTATGCTATGAATTGTGGGCAGCACTAAAGTCTCATTTAAAATCTGAACAAGTAGAATTGAATTTACATGGAAAGGAACAATATTCATTATGAAATATAATGTAAGGATCACTTTTTAAACAAATTGATTGCTTTTGAGTTTTCAGGAGAAGCCACATCAACTGATCAAATAGGGGTTAAATTCTATTTGACTTTTGACTGAATGCAGGTGTGATTGAGACATGATTAACAAGACAAGACTGGGCACAAGGAAATGAGACAATTTATGCTTGGGACACATATTCAAGATTCCAATTTAATGACTTAAATTTGTTTGCGTTTCAGGAATATCCATATCAACTGAGAAAGTTAGGAGACAAGGAGCGTTTAACTGAATGCCTCTCTGATTGGGATATGATCAAGGGTCTGTATAATGAAGACCACAGCTCGCAGCTTCTTTCTTACTGGAGACAGGTAATACAAAAAAAAATACAAATTAAATTTCATAGCATAGTAACCAAATATAGAGAGGATCATTCTCAGTGTTATTATATAGCTAAAACAATGCTCCCAAGGGAGTGGAAAATGTGCATACATTGTGTGCGGGTAAGCCCGAGTCCGATGACCGGGGTAATAATATATCTGTAAAGCGCTTACCGGTAGGCACATCACTGTATCGATGTATTGGGCGCTGTGTAAAAGCGGAATATTATTATAATTATTATTATTAGAAACAATCTCTAAACTTTAGAAGTGCATAGGGATGTTATCTGCACTCTATTATTACCGGTATTATTATTTTTAAACACTTTGCAAAAAAAACATTAATTAAAATTGTTATTTGATTATTGATTGGCTTATTCAAGATCCTATACAGTACATTCTCCCTTGTACATTCAAAACCATAGAGACCGTCCCAGGTTTAAATATTGGTCTTATTAGCTTCGCCAGCATTTCAATGTTTCCCTATTAATCATGTTTTTAATTCAGTTAAAAAAGAAGGTTTCTCTAGCCTCTAAAGCACTAATAAATGTTCAGATGAATGAATCCGTCTGGTTCTGATTTTGAATGCAAAATACCCATCTGCCGTGTATTCACTTCTTTTGTAATAGGTATTTACGTTTGGCTCTATACGTTTAAAATGATTTGGCTTAAAACTTGCACCTTCATTCTTCTATAGATGGATGAGAAGTATGATACAATGGCATCTAAATACACCGAGATGAGTGTTGCTATGTCGAGTGATGATCCTAAAAAAACTGCAGATAAACTCAGCTGCCTTGCACGCATTCTGTAAGTGCCTAACAAGCTTTAGTACTATGCATGTGGTACATGTACCTTTTAAAGGTATAATCTAAAGGTTTTGATATGGTTGTAAATGTACTGCAGTTGAAGTTATTAGTAATTAGGCTTAAAATCTGAAGGAAAAACATCCTGGGCAGTCGTTAGAAGAATTATCGATATTCAGAAAGGGGGGAAAAAAGAATTAGAAAGGGGGAGGGGGGGGGGGGTGGGGGAAATTAGAATGGTAAAAATTATATTTGTACTGTGATTTGAAAGAAAGTATTTACTGTTGCTGCTACCCATCATCTCTCAACTAATTTTATACTGACTTGATTTGTCAAGATATATGCATGTACATGTACAGTGTATAATACTCATAAAATCGTCTGTCTTTGATTTGTGCATACATCCTTGTTGTTTTGTCTTGTCTGTTGTAAAAGCCGTTCAAGAGCATAGAAACATGACTGCTGATAGAATTCTTCTCTCAAGAAACATCCATTTGAAAATAGTTAACAAATGGAAGTTTATTGATGCATTGTCTCGTCTCATATAATATCCGTTCAAAAGAATAGAAGAAACAAACCAAAAAAGTTTTTTGAATGTTTTTTCCCCCCTCATTACAAGGAGGATCCATTGAAAAGTACGACCATTCATTGAATGTTGTAACATGCTTCATATATTATTCATTTGGAAAAATTGAAGATTTAACAATTTGTTGATGTATTGTTTTAACTGCCACTAAAACCCAGTTTAAAGGGATAATAAGATCTTTGTCTCAGATTCTAAACAAAATCCTGGATACACATAATCATAAATCTTTAGTTCAGTCAGGAATCCCATGACGTTTACAAGCGGATTGCCCATCTGATTATCAAGATATTTATAATTTAAATTCGAAATTTTTATGCCTCCGCCACCGAAGGTGGTGCCGGAGGCATCATGTTTTCGGGTTGTCCGTCCGTACGTCCGTACGTCCGTCCCGTTTGACCGTTATCACAATATCTCAAGAACCATTTAAGATTTAAACTTAAGACTCTGGAATAGTATTTATCACCATAGGAAGACGATCTGATTAGATTTTGGAGTACGTAGGTCAAAGGTCACAGGTCACAGAGGTCAACTTATGAAATTCCTTGTATTGAGTTTGTTAGCGCGATATCTCAAGAACCATTTGAGATTTAAACTTCAAACTTAAGGATAGTATGTATCACCATAGGAAGACGATCTGATTGGATTTTGGAGCACGTATGTCAAAGGTCAAGGGTCACAGAGGTCAACTTATGAAATTCCATACATTGAGATTGTTATCATGATATCTCAAGAACCCCTGGAGATTTAAACTTCAAACTTAGTGATAGTGTGTATCACTATAGGAAAACAATCTGATTAAATTTTGGAGCACGTAGGTCAAAGGTCAAGGGTCATAGAGGTCAACTTATGAAATTCCATACATTGAGATTGTTATCATGATATCTCAAGAACCACTGGAGATGTAAAAACTTCAAACTTAAGGATAGTATGTATCACCATAGGAAGACGATCTGATTAGATTTTGGAGCACGTAGGTCAAAGGTCAAGGGTCACAGAGGTCAACTTATGAAATTCCATACATTGAGATTGTTATAATATCTCAAGAACCACTGGAGATTTAAACTCCAAACTTGTTTAAATTGCTCTATGGCGGAGGCATCATTTTCGACTGCGCGCAGTCAAAATTCCATCTAGTTTTTGAATAGGTTAGTTTCCCCACAATGAATGTCCATACATGCCATTAGATGGATCCTGACCCCTAATCCTTTTGAAAGGGGGGTAGTGGCAAATATTGTAAAAATTTGAATTATCACAACTTTCGGGCCGAAATTGTAAGGGCCGGGTGGTTCAGCATTTTGAAGGAAAAAATTATATTTTTTGATTAGGCTAGTTACCCCACAATGAATGTACATACATGCCATTAGATGAATCCTGACCCCCATATCCCTTTGAAAGGGGTGTAGGGGCAAATATTGTGATAATTTGAATAAACACCAATTTCGTGCCGAAATTGTAAGGGCCGGGGTGGTTCAGCATTTTGGAGGAAAATATTATTTTTTTGAATAGGTTAGTTTCCCCACAATGAATGTCCATACATGCCATTAGATGGATCTTGACCCCCATATCTCTTTGAAAGGGGCGTAGGGGCAAATATTGTGATAATTTGAATTATCACAACTTTCGTGCCGAAATTGTAAGGGCCGGGGTGGTTCAGCATTTTGGAGGAAAATATTATTTTTTTTCAATAGGTTAGTTTCCCCACAATGAATGTCCATACATGCCATTAGATGGATCCTGACCCCTAATCACTTTGAAAGGGGCGTAGGGGCAAATATTGTGATAATTTGAATAAACACCAATTTCGTGCCGAAATTGTAAGGGCCGGGGTGGTTCAGCATTTTGGAGGAAAATATTATTTTTTTTGAATAGGTTAGTTTCCCCACAATGAATGTCCATACATGCCATTAGATGGATCTTGACCCCCATATCTCTTTGAAAGGGGCGTAGGGGCAAATATTGTGATAATTTGAATTATCACAACTTTCGTGCCGAAATTGTAAGGGCCGGGGTGGTTCAGCATTTTGGAGGAAAATATATATTTTTTTGAATAGGTTAGTTTCCCCACAATGAATGTCCATACATGCCATTAGATGGATCCTGACCCCTAATCCCTTTGAAAGGGGCGTAGGGGCAAATATTGTGATAATTTGAATAAACACCAGTTTCAGGCCGAAATGGTAAGGGCCCGGGGTGGTTCAGGATTTTGGAGGAAAATATATATATATTTTTTAATAGGCTAGTTTCCCCACAATGATTGTACCTACATGCAATTAAATCGATTCTGACCCCCATATCCCTTTGAAAGGGGGGTAGTGGCAAATATTGTAAAAATTTGAATTATCACAACTTTCGGGCCGAAATTGTAAGGGCCGGGGTGGTTCAGCATTTTGAAGGAAAAAATTATATTTTTTGATTAGGCTAGTTACCCCACAATGAATGTACATACATGCCATTAGATGAATCCTGACCCCCATATCCCTTTGAAAGGGGTGTAGGGGCAAATATTGTGATAATTTGAATAAACACCAATTTCGTGCCGAAATTGTAAGGGCCGTGGTGGTTCAGCATTTTGGAGGAAAATATTATTTTTTTTGAATAGGTTAGTTTCCCCACAATGAATGTCCATACATGCCATTAGATGGATCTTGACCCCCATATCTCTTTGAAAGGGGCGTAGGGGCAAATATTGTGATAATTTGAATTATCACAACTTTCGTGCCGAAATTGTAAGGGCCGGGGTGGTTCAGCATTTTGGAGGAAAATATATTTTTTTTTGAATAGGTTAGTTTCCCCACAATGAATGTCCATACATGCCATTAGATGGATCCTGACCCCTAATCCCTTTGAAAGGGGCGTAGGGGCAAATATTGTGATAATTTGAATAAACACCAGTTTCAGGCCGAAATGGTAAGGGCCCGGGGTGGTTCAGGATTTTGGAGGAAAATATATATATATTTTTTAATAGGCTAGTTTCCCCACAATGATTGTACCTACATGCAATTAAATCGATTCTGACCCCCATATCCCTTTGAAAGGGGGGTAGTGGCAAATATTGTAAAAATTTGAATTATCACAACTTTCGGGCCGAAATTGTAAGGGCCGGGGTGGTTCAGCATTTTGAAGGAAAAAATTATATTTTTTGATTAGGCTAGTTACCCCACAATGAATGTACATACATGCCATTAGATGAATCCTGACCCCCATATCCCTTTGAAAGGGGCGTAGGGGCAAATATTGTAAAAATTTGAATTATCACAACTTTCGGGCCGAAATTAGAAGGTCCGGGGTGGTTTAGCATTTTGGAGGAAAATATTATATTTTTTTAATAGGTTAGTTTCCCCACAATGAATGTCCATACATGCCATTAGATGGATCTTGACCCCCATATCCCTTTGAAAGGGGCGTAGGGGCAAATATTGTGATAATTTGAATTATCACAACTTTCGTGCCGAAATGGTAAGGGCCCGGGGTGGTTCAGGATTTTGGAGGAAAATATATATATATTTTTTAATAGGCTAGTTTCCCCACAATGATTGTACCTACATGCAATTAAATCGATTCTGACCCCCATATCCCTTTGAAAGGGGGGTAGTGGCAAATATTGTAAAAATTTGAATTATCACAACTTTCGGGCCGAAATTGTAAGGGCCGGGGTGGTTCAGCATTTTGAAGGAAAAAATTATATTTTTTGATTAGGCTAGTTACCCCACAATGAATGTACATACATGCCATTAGATGAATCCTGACCCCCATATCCCTTTGAAAGGGGTGTAGGGGCAAATATTGTGATAATTTGAATAAACACCAATTTCGTGCCGAAATTAGAAGGTCCGGGGTGGTTCAGCATTTTGGAGGAAAATATTATATTTTTTGAATAGGCTAGTTTCCCCACAATGAATGTACCTACATGCCATTAGATGGATCTTGACCCCCATATCCCTTTGAAAGGGGCGTAGGGGCAAATATTGTGATAATTTGAATAAACACCAATTTCAGGCCGAAATGGTAAGGGCCGGGGTGGTTCAGCATTTTGGAGGAAAATATTATATTTTTTTAATAGGCTAGTTTCCCCACAATGAATGTACATCAATGCCATTAGATGGATCCTGACCCCCATATCCCTTTGAAAGGGGCGTAGGGGCAAATATTGTAAAAATTTGAATTATCACAATTTTCAGGCCGAAATGGTAAGGGCCGGGGTGGTTCAGCATTTTGGAGGAAAATATTATATTTTTTTAATAGGTTAGTTTCCCCACAATGAATGTCCATACATGCCATTAGATGGATCTTGACCCCCATATCCCTTTGAAAGGGGCGTAGGGGCAAATATTGTGATAATTTGAATTATCACAACTTTCGTGCCGAAATGGTAAGGGCCCGGGGTGGTTCAGGATTTTGGAGGAAAATATATATATATTTTTTAATAGGCTAGTTTCCCCACAATGATTGTACCTACATGCAATTAAATCGATTCTGACCCCCATATCTCTTTGAAAGGGGCGTAGGGGCAAATATTGTGATAATTTGAATTATCACAACTTTCGTGCCGAAATTGTAAGGGCCGGGGTGGTTCAGCATTTTGGAGGAAAATATATTTTTTTTTCAATAGGTTAGTTTCCCCACAATGAATGTCCATACATGCCATTAGATGGATCCTGACCCCTAATCACTTTGAAAGGGGCGTAGGGGCAAATATTGTGATAATTTGAATAAACAACAGTTTCAGGCCGAAATGGTAAGGGCCGGGGTGGTTCAGGATTTTGGAGGAAAATATATATATTTTTTTAATAGGCTAGTTTCCCCACAATGATTG